GCCCCGCCCCGCCCCGCCCCGCGCGAACGGTCGCCGCTTTGTGAGGTGGCTCCGCCGCCCAGGAAGAGCGGGGACCGGAGCGTGCGTCAGGGGGCGGTGCTCGGCCGCGCGGACACGCCCCCAGCCTGGGCCACGCCCCCAGCCCGGCGCGGCTCGACGGCCGCGCTGTGTAAGGTGGTGCGGGTGCAGACGACCGGGGGTGGCGGGGAGGGGCGGGAGCGCGCGTTAGGGGGCGGGGCTAGGCCTCGCGGACACGCCCCGGGCCCCGCCCCGCGCCAACGGCCGCGCTTTGTGAGGCGGCTCCCCGGCCCGGGGAACGGCGGGGGCGGGTCTGACGCCCGCCGGCGTCCACACACCCCTGAGGCTGGGCTCCGCCCCTGGCCCCGCCCGGCTTTGTGAGGCGGCACGCGGAGGGGCGGGGCCTCGTCGCAGCTGGGCTCCGCCCCTATCCCGGCCCTGCTCCCGCCCACAGGGCCTCGCTTTGTGAGGCACCTGGCTCTCCAGGAGGGCCGGCGTGAGGGGCGGGGCCAGGATTAGGGACACGCCCCGCCGTGGCCACGCCCCCAGCCCGCCCGGCTGGGAAAGCAGTTTGCGGTGGGGCTCGGCCTCTCGCAGGGCGTGAACTGCCTGTGGGAAAGCCCTCTCCCCGGCGGTCCACCGCGCCTTGTCTCTTCCCGATCGTCTCCGTCCCCTTCCCACAGCGCCCTCCTCCTCCATCCTCGGCCGTTCACGGTCTCCTCCCCCACAAAATATTCTTGGACCCCTCCCTTAGCCCCTTCCCTCCCGCAGTTACTCTCCCTTCCCCCAGTGATGGCTGGCCAGTGAACCCAGCAGAGCATCCACACACATCTTCCCTCCAAGTCCCCCCTCCACTGCTCCAGAGCCCCACTCCGTTTTGGGGGACCCAGAGAGGCTTGCGGCCTCTTCCCATCTTGCCCAGCTCGCGCCCTTCCCTGGACCTACTCATTCTCCCCGTGTCCCTCTGCCCCATCCTCATCAGTCCACCTCCTCTACCCACCAGTGCAAGGACTTTAGCAGAGACTCCGCGTGGCACTGCCCCCTCCCCGCACCCCCATGGGCCTCCCCACACACCACCCTGACTGCATGCATTTGAGGGGTACTCCCCCTCCCCCCAGGCATCCGGTGATTGGACCCCAGAGGTCCCGGGCTTGAAGGATTACACTCCACAGACGCCTTGGGAAGAGCTCAACACGCGTTATAATTAATAACTTAGGCATGCCAGCAGGGCAGACACTCAGAACACACCCTGGGTACCCCATGCTCCAAAAACCCAGTCGGGTTGGCCCAGTCAGGTGTGGCTGGAAGATGGGGGGAATCAGACGGGTGTGTGCAGAGCTCAGACCTCTTGTGGCCCAGCTGGGGGCCAGAGGGTCCCTAACGTCTCTTTCCCTGGAGGTCTGAGAAGCTGGGAATCCAAAAGGAAGCTTCCTGCTTTCCATCCAGCCTCCAGGCCAATGCCCGCGCCCCCTCTCCCACTCCTGCTCCTCTGTGAGGTAGGTGCCAAGGCCAGGGGCCCCCTTCGTCTCCTCTGTTCAATTCCCTGAGAGAGAGACAGCCAGGCCCCCGAAGTAGCTGGAGGGACCTCTGGCCCCACGCACCCGGCCAGCTCAAGGGAGAGGGCTGAATGGGGGGCGCACGGACACAGAGAGAGGGGCCCCCGATCCTCGGCCTCACGGGGAGACCCGGAAAGTGCTGAATTCGGGGGGCTCAGGCGAGGATGGTGTGCAGGTGGGCCTCTTCCGGGACTCGGAACTGCCAGGTGTCACAGCGGAGCCTGAGTGAGCATCCGTGGTGGCCGTGTCTCCTTCCAAAGTCATTTTCTTTGTTTGGGGAAGAAAAATAGAGAGCCGCGTGATTTCAGGATCTCGGGCTTCCCCATGTTCTGAGGCTCCCCCAGTCCCTCAGGTCTCATCTCACCCCCCCACACACACACACAGGCACCCCACAGCTTCAGGACCCTGGTCCTGCCTTCTGCCCTCCTGCCTTCCTCTCTGCTGAACAGGGGACCAGGCACCCCGGGCTCAAGTCCCAGCTCCACCTCGTCCTACTGGTGTGACCTCAGCAAAGGAAAATTCGCCCTGAGCTAATATCCATGCCAATCTTCCTCTTTTTTTTTTTTTTTTTTGCTGAGGAAGATTAGCCCTGAGCTAACATCTGTGCCAGTCTTCCACTATTTTGTATGTGGGTCACCGCCACGGCATGGCTGACGACTGGTGTAGGTCCATGCCCAGGATCTGAACCTGCCAACCTGGGCTGCCGAAGCGGAGTGTGCAAACTTAATCACTAGGCCATGGGGCCGGCCCCTGTCAGCTGCTTCATTTCTGATATTTCAGCCAACAGGATAGCTTTCTGATGCTTCAGAAAGAAACTAGAATTGAAAGCAAGGGCTCCAACAGATATTTCTACACCCGTGTTCACAGCAGCATGATTCACAATAGCCAAAAGGTGGAAGCAACCTAAGTGTCCATTGATGGATGACCGTGGTGTATCCAGACAATGGAATATTATTCAGCCATAAAAAGGGGTGAAATTCTGACACAGCCACAACATGGATGAACCTTGAAGACACTATGCTCAGTGAAATAACCCAGACGCAAAAAGGATGAACATTGTGTGGCATCATTTCTCTATAAAATGTCCAAAATAGGCAAATCCGTAGAGACAGAGAGTAGAATGACGGGTGCCAGGGGCTGGGGAGGGGGATAGGGAGTTAGTGTTTAACGGGGACAGAGTTTCAGTTTGGAACATGGAAATGTTCTGGGGATGGATGGTGGTGATGGTTGCACAACCATGTGAATGTGCTTAATGCCACTGAACTTAAAAATGGCTGAAATGGTAAATTTTATGTATATTTTACCACAATAAAAAAAAGAAACTAGAAAAGATCACTAGAATTTACTGTTAAGGAAAAGAAGCACTGTGCATAACAGTGTGGATAGCATGCTATCATTTGTGTTAAAAGTGTGAGCATACGGGCTGGCCCCGCGGCATAGCGGTTACATTCGTGCGCTCCACTTTGGCAGCCCAGGTTCGTGGGTCAGATCCGGGGGTGTGGACCTACACCACTCATCAGCCAGGCTGTGGCAGCGACCCACATACAAAATAGAGGAAGATGGGCACAGATGTTAGCTCAGGGCCAATCTTCCTCACCAAAAAAAAAAAAAAAAAAAAACTTGAAAATCACCAGGCTGTGCCTTGAGCAGTGTGGCTTCTCAAGGAAAGTTTTAGAACTTGCCCTACCTGCTGGGTTTTTCTTAACAGCTCAGGATTTGTTCCCAGAGCTGGGACCTCAGAGGGCTGAGCCGGCCAGTGCCAAGGTCCTTCCTTCCCACCATCTGTGTACCAGGGACAGGGGGCCAGTTTAAACTTCCCTGCTCCTCTGCTGAACTCCAGACTCATCCGCTCTTGGGCATCACCGGGTGACAGGGCAGCTCTCTCGTCCCTCCAAGCCCGCCCCTCGCCAGGACTCTCCCACACCTCCTCCTCCTCCCTCCACCCACTCGTCCAATCCAAAATCAGTGCATTGGTTCCCCTCCGCTGAATCCAGCTGACCTGCATCCGTTCGTTTCTTCCACCTCCGCTGCCAACACACTAGTCCAGACCACCCATCACTTCGCGAGCCCGGAGGCCGCCTCCGCCGCGGTCCCGCGGCGCCAGTCCGTCCACGCCCCCCCAGTCTATCCTCCCTGCAGCCGCCAGAGGGCGCCCGTGAGCAGCTGACTCGGGTCCCCTCCCTCCGCTGCTCCGAACCCTCCGTGGCTCCCACCTCATTTGGGGTAAAAGTTGAAGTTCTCCGCGGGGTCCCCCTCGGCTCCTCACTCCGCTCCACCTCAGCTATACTGGGCCGAACCAAGAACGCGTCCCGAGCCTGGATCAACCTTCCGTAGCTACCTCCTTTTTGTCGCCCATCTCCGGGACGTCCTGGATCTCCCACCTAAGTGAGAAGCCAGCTTCCCGGCCTCTCCTCCCCCCCTAGTCTGTCTCCCCGCGTAGAAATCAGAGCTCCGAGGGAGTAAGGGCCTCGTCTTGTTCTTGTCCAGACGCCCAGAAAGGGTGTGTTGAACCTGTCCAACCCTCCCCCCCATCATGGTGCCCCAAGCCGACCGACTGCACCCCAGGCTCCCTAATGGCAGTCTGGCAGCGTCCAGTTGTCCAAATGGGACCTCTGAGGCCACCTTGAGTGGGGCACCTGTACCCCTCTCTGCGTGGAGAGGAGCTGGCTGGATAGTTCCTTGACCCATGGTCTCCATGGCTCAGATATCCCTAACTCAGTAAAAAAATTATAATAAAGTACAAACCCCAAGTCCACCCCACGATACAGCTGTGCAGAGGAATCTCAGAGCCCCAGGTTCAAATCCCAGCCCTGACACTGCGTGCTCAGGGTGGGGGGGGGGGCAACGCCCCTTGCTAGGGGTGGGGGGCGTGGCGAGACCCTCACCCCGGAAGAGAAATGCACAACGGGACATTTAAGCTCACATGCCTGAAACTGAACACAAAAGCTGGCTTTTCTTTACACCAGGAGGGGACCACTGTGCGCATCAGACTGTCACAAGGCTCCACGACCCCACAGAAGCCACCAGGTCGCCCCAAGTCCCCTGTCGCCATTCTGGGGGGCCGGCCTGGGTACAAAGGCAGCGCTGACCCCGACAGCAAGCACCCCGAGGAGGGGGTCTGCCCAGTGCCACACGAAGGCCTGGACACCGTGGCCACCTCCAACGCCCCGGGACTCTTCAGAGCCAATTCTCAGCTCACAGAACATCCCCGCTCAGCGATTCTGGGCTTTCCCCAGGCCCCCGACGCCCGGAGACAACAGGTCGACACAGCGCGGAGGTGGTCCCGTCTTCCCCCGGTTAGGACAGTCAGCAGAAAACCGGGACCAAGAAACGGAACGACTTACCGACGACATGGTGAACAGGGAGTTATCGAAGGACATGTCTGGAACAGAGAGGGGACAAGCAGGACTGGGGTCAGTTCAGATGCCCCGCGCACCGCCCTGCCCCGAGCCCACAGGCCCCGAGGTGCCCGTGAGGAAGGGCGTGGGGTCCGTTTCCCAGCATCCTGCGTGCCCCCTTCCAGCCCATTCTGCAGGGAGAGCTGCGCACAGCTGCAAACTGAACCGTGTCCCCCTTCTGCTCAGCGCCCTCCTTCAGGAAAGGGGCGCCTCCGGAAAACGGGGGCCTCGTCCCAACTCGCGCTTTCTGGAACACCTCTCAGCTCCTCCACCGCCCCAGGCTCTCTCCCAATCGCCCACTCTTCACCCAGCGACCCCCTGCTCCTCCTGCAGCTCTCTGCTTAACCATCACCTCCCCCGGGGACCACCCTCCCAGCCCCAGACAGGGTCCAGCGCCATGGGCCGTTTCCCCACTGGAGTAGGGGGCTTTGGGGCAGAGACCACCTCTGCCTTGGTCATCGCGAGAACTCCCCCCCCCCGCACCGCCCCCAGATCTTAGCATACAGTAGGTGCTCAACAAACGTGTGAGACAGCGAAAGGACAGAGAACCGAGTTCCTGCATTCCCCTCCGCGAGCACCGCACAGCCCGGACTGGCGGCCTCCCTCTCGCCCCCTGGCGGAAGCCTGCAGAACGACACGTGCCGGACCACAGGCGGGGCGCCCCTGAGGAGGGGCCGGGGGCCGGGGGCGCACCCAGCGCCCGGGGGGACACGACAAGGGAGGGAAGGGGAGGAGGGTGCGTTCTTGACCCTCGGGGAAGTGAGCAGCCGCAGAAGAGCTTCAGTAGCGAGTAATGAGACCCCATAGAGTTTTGAGGCCGTGACCTCCTGCCCCCCCCCCCGGCGGGGGGCAGGAGCCAGGAGCAGACACTCACCTGTGGTGGGGAAGTTAATGTGGGCCCAGCAGGATTCTCGCTCTCTGCAAGGGATGTGGGAGAGACTGATGAATCGCCCATTGCCCGTCCCAGGGAAGCCCTGGCCCTAAACTTGGCCTCGGCTCCCCACCCTCCCTCGCATCCTCCCTGAACCCCCTCCGATGCAAATTCTCTCGCAGGAGCCCCACAGCCAGGGGAAGTCGGGGTTCAGTCCCCAGGGCTGCTGCTAGCTCTCTGCTACCAGACAACGGGGTGCCCACCCATCTTTCAGAGGGAGAAGCCGAGGCTGGGGCCAGTTGGGACACCCTGATGCCCAGGAACCAGGGCCACCGCCTACAGGCTGCAAGTTGGGCACTGCACAACCCCAGGGGGCGCCACTCTCCTCCACCCACTGTGGATTTCTCGAGTAATTACGACCATTTTGGGCAGCTGGCGGTAAAGGGATGAGAGGAAGTCTCGGCCACTTGCTCCCGGTGTGACTGAGTGCTGAGCCTCAGTCTCCTCGTCTGTAAGATAGGGCTATTCATAGTGCCTGCTTCCCGGGCTGCTGTGAGGATAACGAGAGCCCAGGCTTCAGAGTGTCCTAGCGCAGCGCCCCGCACACCATAGGCGCCCCATAAATGGCACCTGTTCCTATTAAGCGGCCCTCCCACCAGAGGGCGCTGTTCGGCGGAGCGCCCACCAGCCGGGAAGCGCCCTCCTGTCGCCGGATCGCGCCCACTCTTAGGGACTTTAAGCCCCATCAGAAACTCCTGCGCTGGGACTATTTCTACCCCCAAAACCACCCTCTGACGGTCTCCAGGGACAGTCTCACCTTTTCTTCTGCAAATTTTTGGCTTTAACTGGGAAGAAAAAACAAATGAGCATTTGTTAGATTTTGGTCCTGGTTGCAAAAAGCCAAGAAACCAAACGCCCCCCTCATATATTTGCCACCCTACCTTGCCTCCGCCCTGGAAGATTCTCCCACTCAACAGGACAGCTACTGTGAACACTCCCCCCACCCCAATTACATGAGTAATGTGTGGGGGGAAAAACTTCCAACAAGGGGCAAGCATGTAAAATTGTTTTTTTAATTACATGTATTAATTATATAATTATTATATTTATATAATTATATACTTATATTTAATTATAAGTATATAATTATATAATTAATAATATATAATAAATTATATAATTGATAATAAATATATAATTAATATAATAATTATATAATATATAATTGTATAATTAATTAATTATATTAATTTCAGGGGCTGGGGAGGGGGATGGGGAGTTAGTGATTAATGGAGTTTCAGTTTGGGAAGATGAGAAAGTTCTGGAGAGGGATGGTGGGGATGGTTGCACAGCGATGTGACTGTACTTAAGGCTGCTGAACTGGACACTTAAAAAGGGTTAAAATGGCCAATTTTATATTGTATATATTTTACCACAATAAAAAATATCTCTTTCAATTTCCCCTGCCCACCACCATCATGGTGCTTCTGGAGGGTTCTTTGCTGCTAAGTTTTGGAGTAAGTCCTTCCCAAATTATGTGCCTCCATGCTCCTGAAAAATGGGCATGATTGGCGGCCGGCCCTGTCGCCTAGTGGTTAAGTTCATGTGCTCGGCTTTGGTGGCCTGGGGCACCCCGGGTTCCCAGGTTCGGATCCCGGGTGCAGCCCTACACCACTAGTCAGCCATGCTGTGGCAGCGACCCACATAAAATAGAGGAAGATTGGCACAGATGTTAGCTCAGGGCGAATCTTCCTCAGCAAAAAAAAAAGAGGTGGGAGTGCATTTACACGTTCCAGGGTTGCACACTGGCAGCCCGTGGGCTGTGCTTTCTCTGCCTGCTGTTACCTTTCCGGACCACCACGGCAGTGGTCACCAGCCCAGCGAGGAGGAGGAGGGCTCCCACCAGGCTCAAGGAGAGCACCAGGATCCTAGAGGACGCTGGAGAAAAGTGGGAAAAGAGAGAGTGGACAGGTCATGGAGGTGTGTGTTGAGGGGACAGGGAGGAGGTGGGACACTTGTCCTTCCTCCAGGTTACCTGTGGGGAGCCAGCCCTCCTCCCATGCCCCCCAACCATTTGGCTTGGGTGTAGCTACACCCTGAGGATCTAGCAAACTTGGTGTCTGGCCAATTAGCATATTCCCTCCCCCAGCCACAGCGATTGGCTCAGGGATGGGCATATGGCCCAAGCTGAGCCAATGAGAGCTAATTCTGGGACTTTGGTTAGACCACTGGGAACAGAGGTTTATTCCTCTGGCCACCATTACAAAGCTGCACGGATATACATCTGAAGCTGCTGGGCACAATTTTGACACCATGAGAGGAGGGGCTGCCTGAGAATAAGATATGGAAGAAAGCCGAGCTGAGACGTGGCAAATAATTCCTGACATCTTTGAGCACCTGGATCCAGCCATGCCTGAAGTCAGTGCTATCAAGTGACTTTAGTTCAGTAAACCAACAAATCCCCTTTTGTTGCTGAAGCCAGTTTAAGTCAAGTTTTTAGTTACTTGCAGCCTGAAGAGTTCCGCTGGCTTGAGCCTGGGCACCAGGGGGTCAGATGACATCCACCCCCAGCCACACAGGGGACCCTGTGGCCCATGCAGAGGTCAGCCACAGAAGCATGAAGCCACAGCTCCAGAGTTGACTTCTCTGCCGAAGTTTCGGCTGCCCCACCCTGGAGAGAGAGGGGATCTCTCAGGGGAGCCAGGAGGAGATTCCGTGACCCTAGTGGAGTTCAGGAGCTAAGCCAGGAGGCAGGAGAGACACACTTGGTATTCTCACAATGTTAACACTTGTTCATTCATTCAGTGGGGGCTGAATTCAGGAGGGGTGTTGTCACCTCCCTGCTCTGAGACCACAGGACCCAGGTGGGAGAAGGGGCCCTTAGATAGTGGAGCTCGAGGACACAGAGACTGTTTTGTCATCACAACGGGCCTCTGCTGGCAACAAAGCGCTCTTTGCAGCTGGAAAATTCTGATCGATGGTGACACAGAGGCTCTACCTGGAGGCTCCCCCTTCCCTTGATCCAGAGCCTACGCCCAGCCCCCTGCCCTGCCTGACCCTCCTCGCCACCTCCCTGCCCTCATCTCCCCCCACTTTCCTCCTTGCTCACTATTCTTCAGCCGTTTGGGGCACCTCCATGTTCCTCAAACACCCCAGGTGTGCTCCAGCCCCAGGGCCTTTGCATATCCTTCTTCCTTTGCCTGGAACACTTCTGCCCCAGACCCCATATGCCTAGCTCCTCATCATTCAGGTCTTTGCTCTAATGTCACCTCCTCAGAGAGGCCATCCCTGCCCACTCTCCTCTGTATTTAAAATGACACCCTTTACCAGGCTGTATTTGATCCACTTTACTTGTCCCCTGCTGGCAGACTGAATATTTATCGGACTCCTCATTTATCGTCTGTGCCCATCCCCTTGGAATGTCAGGTGCGAGAGGGCAGGAACATTGTCTGTTCCGTTTGCTGCTGAATCTGCGGTGCCTAGTTGGTGCCCATGGATGTTATGTGGCTGGGAGGGGAGGGTGCAGCCATGGGGAGGTTTAATGCCTGGACTCTGGAAGCCAGGGGAATCTCAGCTCTGCCACCCGCCAGCTGGGTGACCTGAGCACGTCCCTTCATCACTTGAGCCTCAGTTTCCTCATCTGCAAAATGGGGAGACTTGCTGTACCCATCGCACCGGGTGACTGTGACAATTAAACGAGGAAAGATCTGGCTCGTCCTGGGACGACTTCCAGGTGGAGGGAACAGCACATGCGAAGGCTCAGTGGTGAGGAAATGGAGCTCCGGGCAGTGAGGGACCGTGGGCAGGCCTTACCTGGGGAGACGTGCAAGGTCTCGCTCGTTTCCGACAGCTGGGGCCGCATATCTTCACCCAGCACGCCATACTGGCAGCGGAATATTCCCCCGTGAGCTTCCTTGCCACCGTCACTCACGTTGAAGGTGACCCTGAGCTGGTCCGCGGGGGCCTGCAGGAGCTGGACCTTACGCTCCCCTTGATACAACGTGAAATTGGCCCCTGGGTAGCCCGAGGGGGCCTCGCACTGGATGTAGATGGGGTCTTCTTGGCTGCTGGGGTGTGGGCGCACCAGCAGGATGGACGGCGCCGGGATCGCCAAGGAGCCTGTGAGGCCGAATAAGGGAGGCCGGGTGGGTGGATGATTAGAGCGAGGCCGACCTGGCTGTGTGTCCTCGGGCAAGTGGCTCACCCTCTCTGGGCCTTGATTTTTATGTACCCCACTGCGATGGTGAGAGGATCGAGTGCCTAGCACGTGGTGAGGGGATGCTGTGTAGGAGTCAGTTTATTATAACAGCAGTGGTTATTACATAGCAAAGCAATGATACTCTTATTAGTTCAGTCAACAGCACTGACTATGGCCCAGGTCCTGTTTTAGGTGCTGGGGACAAGCAGTGAATAAGACGGACAGAGAGACAGACATGCCCGCCTCTGGGAGCTGATGTTCTCAAGGACACAAGAAGTCTCAGCACATCAGACAGGGTAATGGGAAGGCTGCATTAGCTGGGGTGGCCACGGAGGGCTTCCCTGAGGAGGTGACATAGGAAGAGCTGGGGAACAGCCTTCTAGGCAGAGGGAACAGCATGGGCAAAGACCCAGAGGATGGAAAAGGTGTGCGGTGTTCAAGGAGGCCAGGGTGGCTGGAAGGGAGGGGCAGGGGAAGAGCAGGAAGAGGGGAGGGCAGAGGGGTCCTGTCTTGTCTCCCAGGCTGGGGTGAGGAATATGGATTTCCAGGTACGGCTTCCTGAAGGAGGGACCAGTGTCTCCCCAGCGGCCCCCAGGCTCCCGAGCAGAGTGGCTCAGGTCAGGTCTACACCAGCCTTCCCGGTCCAGCCTGCCCCCACCCTCCAGCAGTTCCTCCCGCTGCCCCAGCCCTGGAGGCAGGAGCCTGCAGAGGCCGAGTGGGGCTGAGTCATGGGGCGTGGGCCCCACTGTCGCCAGTGGGGTGGCATTTCTGACACCCTGGCCGTGGAGGTGATGAGGAGCCCAACCAGAGGAAGCCACACTCCTGGGCCATTTCCAAGGCTCTGGGGCAAATCTGTCAGGGCTCAGCCTCCTCCAGCCCCCGGAGAGGGCAGCCCCTCACTGGTTTCTGCCCCCAGAGCAGAGGCCAGGGGCGCGGAGGTGGGGGGAGCGGGGCGAGGGGCATCAAGCTCACCAGCTGCAAAAAGCAAGACAGTCCAGGGCATCTCTCCTCCCGCGTTTGGCCGGGAAGTCTGGCTGAGGCCAGTGCAGCGCCTGGCTCCCCGCCAACTCCTCCTGTGAGCCTGAGAAGGGAAAGGAGAACCAGGCTGATTCGAGCTGAGGGTTTCCTCACTGGCAGGAAGTTGCACACACACACACTTGGGCACCAAAAGGGACACTGTGCTGTCCCCACCCCTTCCACAGCCGCGCGGTAGACCCTGGCACCTCTCTGCAGCTGGGTGGCTGTGGTTCTGCAGATGGGAGGGAAAAACGGATGGGATGGTCGGGGGGCAGGGGTGTTTCTTTTTTTTCTCCCCCGGAGGGAACTCCCGGCCATGAGGAAGGGTGAGGACCGTGGGCTGTTTGGGACACCCACACCCAAGACAGTAACTATAGGCCAACCAGTGCTGAAGTTGAAACATATGGGGTGGAGGTTGCTAGGGCTTGTGGTTAGGGCTTCGCCTTTGTGACCTCAGGCAAGACATGGTCCTTCTTTAAGCCTCAGCTTGCTGCTCTGTAGAATGGGGCTAAGAATAGCATATATTATATCCCAAGGACTCATGAAGAGCAATGCCTAGTGGGGAATGAATGCTCCCAGTGTGAAGCCACAGAGAAGAAAAGCTTCAGGTTCCATGAGAAAAGCCCATTCCAACCTCAGGGCCTTTGCACATGCTGTCTCCCCTGCCTGGGACACAATTCTATCAACCTGGTGTCAAATCCCATTTTTCATTCAGGTTTCAGCTTAAATATCACTTCTGGGAAATAGTTCTAGATCCCTCTGGACTTAGAAAAATCCCCTTGCTGAATTCTCCCATGGTGCCGTGTAACTTTCTCATATTGCAATGAGCATGTTTGGATTTTCAAGGAATTTGTTCATTTCATCTAAGTTGTTGAGCTTCCTGGTATAAAGCTGTTCGTATTCCCTTATTATCCTTTTAATGTCTGTAGGATCTGTAGTGATGTCCCCTCTTTCATGTCTGGTAATGATAATTTGTGTTTCTCTCTCTCTCTCTCTTTGTTTTTTTTTTTTTTTTTTTGCTGAGGAAGATTAGCCCTGAGCTAACATCTGTGCCAATCTTCCTCATTTTTTGCTTGAGGAAGATGAGCCCTGAGCTAACATCTGTGTCATTCTTTTTGTTTGTTTATTTGTTTTTGTTTTGCTTTTTGGTGAGGAAGATCAGCCCTGAGCTAACATCTGCCAATCCTCCTCTTTTTGCTAAGGAAGACTGGCCCTGACCTAACATCCATGCCCATCTTCCTCCACTTTATATGGGATGTCTGCCACAGCATGGCCTGACAAGCGATGCATCTGTGCGCACTCGGGATCTGAACAAGCAAATCCCGGGCCGCTGCAGCGCGTGCACTTAACCACTTGTGCCACCGGGCTGGCCCCATCATCTGTGCCAATCTTATCTTCCTCTACTTTATACATGGGTCACCCCCACAGCGTGGCTAATGAGTGGTGTAGGTCCACACCTGGGATCTGAACCTGTGAACCTGGGCTGCTGAAGCAGAATGCACCAAACTTAACCACTATGCCACAGGGCTGGTCCCTCTTTCTTTCTTGATTAGTCTTGCTAGGGGTTAATCAGTTTTATTAATCTTCTCAAAGTACCAAATGTTGGCTTTGTTGATTTTCTCTATTTTCGGTTTTCTATTTCTTTGCTTTTGGTCTCATCTTTACTCTTTTCTTTCTTCTAGTTACCTTGCATTTCATTGGCTTTTCTTTTCCTAGCTTCTTAAGGTGGAAGCTTAGATTATTGACTTTAAAACTTTATCTTCTAACACAAGCATTTAAAGCTATACATTTCTCTCTGAGCACTGCTTTAACTCCAGCTCACATTTTGATATATTGAGCTTTGTAACCATTAAGTTAGAAATATTTTCTTTTTTTTTTTTTTTTGGTGAGGAAGATGTACCCTGAGCTAACATCCCTGCCCATCTTCCTCTATTTTGTATGTGGGACGCCCCACAGCATGGCTTGACAAGCAGTGTGTAGGTCCGCGCCCGGGATCCAAACTGGCGAACCCTGGGCCGCCAAAGCACAGTGCTCAAACTTAACCACTATGCAACCAGGTTGGCCACTATTGATACTTTTTGTATGGCCTAGCATATCTTTTTTTTTCTTCTTTTAAAGATTTTATTTATTTATTTATTTTTCCCCCAAAGCCCCAGTAGATAGTTGTATGTCATAGCTGCACATCCTTCTGGTTGCTGTATGTGGGACGTGGCCTCAGCGTGGCCGGAGAAGCGGTGCGTTGGTGTGCGCCCGGGATCCGAACCCGGGCCGCCAGCAGCGGAGCGCGCACACTTAACCGCTAAGCCATGGGGCCGGCCCCTGGCCCAGCATATCTTGACCACATTCTAGAAATGAAAGTACACTCTGCAATTGTTTGGTGTAATATTCCGCAAATACCAATCAGATTAGGTCAAGGTTGTTCACAGAACACACTTGAAGTTTTGGATTCATCCCGCTCTGCCTCCAGGAGGGCAGGGATGGAATCTGTCTCATCTGCAGTTTCTCAATGCCTACCACTGCGCCTGGCACACAGTGAACCCTAAATATTTCTTTTTTAATTTTGTTGAGGTCATATTGGTTCATAACATTATGTACATTTCAGGTTCCATCATTATATTTCGACTTCTGTACAGACTGCATCGTGCTGACCACCAAAAGTCTAGCTGTCATCCGTCACTGTACACATGTGCCCTTCTACCCCTTTCACCCTCCCCCACTCCTTTCCCATAAATATTTGTTGATGGTCTGACCTGAAGGCCAAAAAAACATGCATTCAGTCTATTTTTGTGGCTCTATCCTGCATGTGTAGGGGACAGGGTTAAGAGATAATCCTGGATTATTCAGTCCACCAACTGTTTCCTGAGTGTCCCCAAGAGCCCAGAACAGTGCTGGGTGTCAGGGTCCCCATGATGGATGACACAGCTCCTGCCCTCCAGGAGTTCAGAGTTTGGTGAGCGAGTCAGACAAGCAGACGACGAGAGTCCAGTGGTGAAGTGCTGTGATGGAGGCAGCTGCCGAGGGGGCTCGTAACCCAGCTTCAGCAGGGAGGGCTTCCAGGAGGAAGTGATAAAGCCTGAGAAGGAGATGCAGGAAGGGCATTCCAGGTAGAGGAATAATAAGGGCCTTGGGAGTATGTAAGGACTTCATCCTGGGAGCATCTAATATGGTACAGGAATCCATAACCTGGAATTTTGTGTTCAGGAAAACAGCCACACGTAGCTGTCCCGGTCAGCTACCACACAGATGGCGCCCTTAAGAGGCACGACGAGGAGTCAGGGGCAGGGTGAAGGGAAATCAACAAGGGATGGTGACTCCCTGGGGTCTGGGAGCTGGACCAGCCCAGGTCTGAAGATGCTGGGGAGGAAACAGTCCTGGACTTGGAGAGAGCTGAGTCGCAGGCTTCGGCGGAGACACGCAGACCAACAGGGTGGGAGCCAGGAAACATATATCCAGACCTTCTTCTCCTCCGGCCCTCGGATCTCCTACCAGGGCCGAAGCCAGCTGGATGCGAGAAGAGGCAGCCAAGTTGACCTGAGGTGTAGAGACCAGCATCCCGGGGCACGGAGCCGTGCACAGATGGGTAGAGAATGTCTGGTGGGGCAAACAGCAGGCCCAGCACACACTCGGAATCTTCCGATTATAATTTCAGGGGATCCCTCACCTCCAGAAGCCAGTCTGCAAACTCCTCCCCAGGCTGATTCGAGGCCAATGCTACAAAGGGAAGAGGGACCCCACGTGATGGGGCTTGTGTGCTGGCTACTCCCCACCCCATCTCCTTTCTGCCCCTTGAACCCTCTGAGTGCCTTCTGACCTCAGGGCACTGTTCTGTCTGCTTGCCTCCTCTCCCTTCTACGTCAAGCTCGAGCTTCAATGCCGCCTCCTCAGGGAAGCCCTCCCTGATTCCACCCGGGAGAAATGAGCCACCCCCACCTACCACCTAGCATTTACTTCTTAGCGCCTATAACTACCTGAAAGCATCTTAGTGCTGCACTTGCTTGAGTATGGTCCGGCTCCTACACCGGATGACAGCTCCAGGAGGACGTGGACAGTGTCTGTTTTATTCACAGTGTCAGACGCTTAGTAAATATTTCTTGAACACTTGGAGAGGGAGAGTGTTTTTGTTTAATGGAGGGAAACAAGAATCACCCAGGCAGCCTCCAGACTTGAGCACAAGTGGCAGCGTCGGTAGCTCCCAGGGCCCGTCCCTCCACGGAAACCGACGAATCGAGCAAAAGTGGGCTAAGTCTACTTTATCCAAACTCTACAAAACAGCCAAAGGTGAATGCCAACCAAGGGAACGCTGAATCAGGAAACAGGCAACTCGAACACGTCGGGAAAGGTGTGTCACGTTCTCTGTGCCCTTCCCTCGTCTCCTCCTCCAGCATGCGGAGGTCTGCGCTCCCAGCATGGGCCCTGGTCCGCGGGTCCTGGGGGAGCAGAGCAGCCCTCATTCTGAGTATGGTGTTCATCTGTTCTAACCTGTCTGGGGGCTGCCTGCAGGACTGATTCCAGATACCCGTCTGTGTAACTCAGAATGCATTCCTGCAGAACACCATAAGGCAAAGAAGCACGCACAGCTGCCCAGGGCAAAAGAGGACAATGGCAGACGTCCCAAAATCTGGGAGGAAAAGTGTCTCTCGGTAATTAGAGCATTCAGAAGCACTCGTTTTTACTGGGGAGCTTAGAATGCAATATGCATGCCCAGGGCAGGACAAATGCACGGAGAAGACCGAGGACACCCTAAGCTTTCACCTCCAGCTGATTTCCAGGCTTGGTGCAAACAGGAAGCGAAGGCTGAGGCAGAGTTGTAAACGCCCACGTGAGGCGTTGCAGGAGTACCCCAGCTTAGATCTGCAGAGGGTGCCAGGGGATTTTCATCGTTCCTTTTTGCTGTCTTCCTTTTTCTCTCCATAATCTATAAATAACTCTGAGCCGGCCCTGTGGCCGAGCGGTTAAAGGTCTGCGCGCTCTGCTTCGGCGGCCTGGGCATGTGGGTGTTGACCCCGGGTGTGGACCCACTCCACTCATCAGCCATGCTGTGGCAGCGACCCACATACAAAATAGAGGAAGACTGGCATGGATGGTAGCTCAAGGGCAATCTTCCTCAAGCAGAAAAAAAACAAATAAAAAAACAAGGAGGACTGGCAAGGGATGTTAGCTCAGGGCAAATTTTCCTCACCAAAAGCAGAAAAAAAAAATATATATAAATAACTCTTATAACTCAACAACAAAAAGACAAACAACCCAATTTTAAAATGGGCAAAGGACTTGATTAGACATTTCTCCAAAGAAGATATACAAATGGCCATGAAGCACATGAAAAGATGCTCCTTGTTGTTAGGAAAATGGAAATCAAAACCACAATGAGAGGGGCCGGCTCCGTGGCTTAGCGGTTAAGTGCGCGCGCTCTGATGCTGGCGGCCCGGGTTCGGATCCCGGGCACGCCCCAAGGCACCACTTCTCCGTCCAACCCGAGGCCGAGTCCCACGTACGGCAACTAGAAGGATGCGAACCTATGACATACAACTATCTACTGGGGCTTTGGGGGGAAAAAAATGAATAAATAAAATCTTTAAAAAAAAAAAAAAACCACAATGAGATACCACTGCACACCCCTTAGGATGGCTATAATAAAAAAAAACGGTAACTAACGTGCTGATGAGGACGTGGAGAAATTGGAAACCTCATACATGGCTGGTGGGAGTGTAAAACGGTGCAGCCCCTGTGGGAAAGTTTGGCAGCTCCTCAAAAAGTTAAGCATGCAATTACCATATGATCTAGCAATTTCACTACTCAGCATATACCCAAAAGATCTAAAAGCAGATACTCAAACAAAGTCATGTGCTGCATTCACAACGTTTCAGCCAAAGACAGACCACATATATAGGGACGGTGATCCCATAAGATTAGTACCATGTAGCCTAGGTGTGTAGGAGGCTATACCATCCAGGTTTGTGTAAGTAGACTCTATGATGTTCCCACAATGACCAAAAGGCCTCATTTCTCAGAACGTATCTGTCGTTAAGCGATGCACGACTGTACACGCACAAGTTTCTAGCAGCATTATTCACAATAGCCAAAAGGTGGAAACAGCCCAAGTATCCATCAACAGATGAATGGATAAATAAATTGTGGTATATCCATACAGTGGAATACTATTCAGCCATAAAAAAGAATTAAATACTGATACATGCCAAGATGAACCTCAAAAACACTATGCTAAGTGAAGGAAGTCAGACACAAATGGTCACATATTCCATTTATATGAAAGATCCAGAATCAGTAAATCCACAGAGGCAGACTGGTGGTTGCCAGAAGCCAGGGTGAGAGGGGAATGAGGAATAACCACTTAATGGGTACAGGATTTCCTTTTGGGCTGATGAAAATGTTTTGGAAATAGGTTGTAGTGGTTGCACAATATTGTGAATGTACCAAATGCCACTGAGCTGTTCACTTAAAAATGGTTAATTTCATGTAATGTGAATTTCACTTCATTAAAAAAAAAATCCGTTAAAAAAAGAATCACCCATTCTCCTCAGCTACTTCAAAATGTCCAAGCAGAGAGTCTGAATGATAGAAAAACTCGGAGAGAAACGCAATAGCAAGCACCTTACATAAACTTTGACATTAGGAAGTGGTGTTACTTCCCCAAGCTCTCCAAACGCAGCAAAGTGCTGACAGCCACCAGCTGTGTTTGTAGAGTGACTCTCCTGGCCTATCTTTAAAGACTCAAAATTTCCGTCTAAACATTTTTTCTTGTGTTTAAACGGAATCACCAGGCAGAGTCCATTTCTCCAAAGACTTTGCTCATCTGTGCTTCCCAGAGGGAGGTCGCCTCCAAATCCTCCAGGCAAATTGCGGGAGAGGTTAAATGGAGGTCGGTAAACCTGGACTATAACAGATGGCATTTACTGTGGGCCGCGATGTGCCAAGCACGGAAGCAGCACTCTCTCACTTAGTCTTCACAGCAGCCCAAGGAAGTAGGTCGAGCATCATCCCCATTTTACAGGCGAGAAGATCGAGGCCGGCCAGGGTGATGGCCTCAAGGGAAGGGTGGGGCGTGGTTGGAACGAGGCCACGTGGCTCCCAGGCCCGCTCTGTCTTCACCTCTCTTCTCTGCGGACTCTAAGCACCCGGGCTGTCGTTTATCCTACCCTGGGCCACTTCGGTCACTCTGTTTACCCGCTGGCCCCCGAGTTTGAGAGCCTTGGGTGCAGATGGGGCCACGCCGCCCTACAGACTCCATGCAAGGCAACCCCAGCGCTTACTACGGGCCAGGCCTCACGTCACTCAGTTCTCATCACTCCCATTTTACAGACGAGGACACTGATAAAGCGATGGTTGTAAAGCGCAAACGGAACGAGGAGCTGGGCGTCGAACCGGAACCCCGCGCTAACAGGAAACCCTACGGGTCGCGTGCAGGGCCACGCCCACTTTGGATCCGCTCCCCACCCCCACTGGGCAGCCCAACGGTCGTCGGGCGCGGCGTACTCTGGGAAAAACCGCCGAGAGGAGCCTTAGAAAGACCCGGCCGCTTCCACCTTAGTTGTCTTAACTTTTGCCTGAGAAGAATGCACCACCATGGTACTTATTTTTGTCATTTTTCCCCCACCAGCAGTTGATACTAGAAGTGGAGACCTGTGAGAAAACAGTCTCTAAAAGGTTGGATGTTTTGGGGCGCATCAGGCATTTATTTGGGCAGCTAGACTCTCAGGGGGTCCTTCACGCCAGGCTCTGCTGGTTTCGGACAACGGGCAGACGCGACTGCCAATGAGCTCCGCCCAGTAGCGGAGGGGGCAGGGCTAGCCCTTAAAGGAGCCGCGACCCACTAGCAGACCGAGGGTGACCCGGATGATGGCGGCCGGCGCGGCCCTAGCCTTAGCCCTGTGGCTACTACTGCCGCCAGCGGGGGTGAGAGGGGCAGGGCCCCCGCCGATCCAGGACGGCGAGTTCACGTTCCTGCTGCCCGCAGGGAGGAAGCAGTGTTTCTACCAGTCCGCGCCGGCCAACGCAAGCCTCGAGACCGAGTACCAGGTAGAGGCTCCCGGGCCGGGAGCGAGCGGAGCCAGCGAGAGGGGGCGTGGCCAAGCAGCTGAAGCGAGGCATGCACTACAGGGGGAAGGGGAGGAGCCGTGCGTAGGAGCGTGGGGGCGGAGCCAGGGGAGCGAGGCGGAGGGGCGGGGACAGCGCGTGGGAGCGGAAGGGGTGGGAGCAATGGAAGGAGGCGGGGCTCGAGGGAGACAGCCAAAGGGGGCGGGGCCATAGGAAGGAGCCCTTCAGAGACCGGACTCTCGCTAGTGGGCGTGGCCAAGGAAAAGGGTTGGGTCTATTGGGGGAGCTGGTGGGTGTGTCCAGGATGCGCTGCGCGTAAGGGCACGGTCAACATGAGGATTTCCCGGGGGTTGGGCTAAAGAAGGAAGGGCCTTTTCTGCCTTACTTGGGGCGTGGCCGAGTCAGGGGCGTGGCCAGGTAAACGTCGATCAAGGACTTCCAACGGGGGCGTAACCAGATGAAAGGGCCTATCCCGAAGCTGTCACATCAGTGAGGGCGGGGCCGAGGCAGGGGGCGCGGCCAGAGGGACGGGCGGGGGCAGCACTGTGTTCCAGGTGTGGGTGTCAGCGCTCAGGTGGGCCCCCGAGTCTGTGCGGGTCTCTGCGGGTCGGTCCAGTCCCGGCCTTCTCTGGCAGGTGCCCTTGGCCTGCCCCTAGCCCTCCACTCTCTCTTACCTGCCCCCCAGGTGATCGGAGGAGCTGGGCTGGACGTGGACTTCACGCTGGAGAGCCCTCAGGGCGTGCTGCTGGTCAGCGAGTCCCGCAAGGCAGACGGCGTGCACACGTGAGTTAAGTCCCGCCTGCCCAGGTTCGGTTACAGCCCTGGCCCGCTCCAGCGGCCTCGGGTTACCACCCTGCCTGCCTCGTGCAGTCTGCCTGGCTGGCCGGCCCCCCGGGGTCATGTATGTCTGCCTGGCTGGCCGGCCCCCCGGGGTCATGTCTGTTTCTGTCTGCCCGCCCAGGGTGGAGCCCACGGAGGCCGGGGACTACAGGCTGTGCTTTGACAACTCCTTCAGCACCATCTCGGAGAAGCTGGTGTTCTTTGAGCTCATCTTTGACAGCCTGCAGGAGGACGAGGAGGTCGAGGGCTGGGCGGAGGCTGTGGAGCCCGAAGAGATGCTGGATGTCAAGATGGAGGACATCAAGGTGCGCCCAGCCCTCTGGCACTGGGCAGCAGCGCAGCCCTGCCCTCCTGGCTTGGCTCAGGTCCCCCTTGGCCTGGCCCAGCCTCCCCTACATGTTGGCACTTAACTTATAACTCATTCAATCTCCATAACCACCCTACAGGTAGTGTGCTTTAATTATCCCCCGTTTTACAGTTGGGGAAATTGAGGCACAGGATGCCTAAGTAACTCTCCTAAGGCCCCGACAGCCAGCAACTGGCAGAGCCAATATTTGAACCCAGGCAGTGTGGCTTCAGCAACTGCTATTTATTAACCACTAGTAAATACATTCCTTATACTTATTTAGGCATTCAATTCTCATAGTGATTCTGAGGTTTAATTCGGAAGCTCAGAGAGGTTAATTAACTTGCTCACGGTCACACAGCCAGGGAGTAGCAGAGCGAGGGTTTAGACTCAGGCAGCCTGGCCAGAGTCTGCTCTCAGCTGTCTCTCTCCCGTCCCCCCACATACGAACTCTGGCCCCATTCCACAGGACAGAGGCCTGACCCTACTTCTCCCTCTGCCCTGCAGGAGTCCATTGAGACCATGAGGACCCGGCTGGAGCGCAGCATCCAGATGCTCACGCTGCTGCGGGCCTTCGAGGCACGTGACCGCAACCTGCAGGAGGGCAACCTGGAGCGGGTCAACTTCTGGTCGGCCGTGAACGTGGCCGTGCTGCTGCTGGTGGCCGTGCTGCAGGTCTGCACGCTCAAGCGCTTCTTCCAGGACAAGCGCCCCGTGCCTACGTAGCCCTGCCCGGAAGAAGACCAGGAGATGGGAGGGGCAGCAGGGCGCATGTGTGTGGGACTTGGGGGTCCCTTCCCCAAGTTAGTTCCTTACAGGCCAGGAGGCTGTGTGGTCTGGGCCTGAGGGGTGGCCCCCGTGCGTCTCCTCCCTTCTGGGCCAGCAGGGAACACAGGCTGGCTGGCAGGCCTGGCCCTCCAGGGCGGGTGGCTCAGTGCCTGCGTCTACTTGCCTGGAAATTGTGCATGGGGGGTCTGCAGTGTTCGAATGCAACCCCTGGATTTTGGGGCCCTGCCTCCATCCCCTCTTGTCATGTGCCTTAGCCCAAGTTCTCCAGCTGGCACCAGCCCTGCCCCCTGGTGTGCGACAGGGCCCAGGAAGCAAACTCCCCCCACTTCCCCACTGGCCCTCGCTGTGTGTGGGCCCCCACGCCTTCCTTCCTTTCCTTGTGGCTCCACCTGAGGCCTGTGGCTGCTGCGGGGGGCGGCCTGCTCGCGCCAGGGGCTGGGAAGGAGACACGGCTGCAGTGTTCTTGCCAGGATGGTCACTTTATTGACAGGCAGGGCCCCAGCCCCTCGGCCCAGCGGAGGGCGCTCTGGGCATGAGGTTTGGTAACAGAACTTCAGGAGCCAGGCCTGCAAGACCACCCGGCCCTCCCACGCTCCTGGCAGGGGCCCCAGACAGGGCTGAGGGGTGGCTGGCCAGAGCCTGCACAGGAGCCTCATGGAACAGGGCAGTCTGGCCTGGGCACCGGAGTCAATAAATTATGGTCAAAAAAATCCCAGAGCTTGGTGACTGGGGCTCTGGGACACCAGGCGGGACAGACCTGCCCCCCAGGGGGCAGCCAGGCAGGCGGGAGGGGTCTCCCACGAAGCTCAGAAGAAAGGTCGGGCAGGAGCCGATGGAGGTGGTCGCCTGGGCACAAGAGAAAAATCAGAAAGCAAAGTTGAACTGTGTCTCTGGCTGGGCCAGAAGGCCTGGGCCCCCCAGGGGGCAGAGGGGAACCAGGGCAAGTCCTCAGGACTGCAGGGTTGGGGAGGGGGCCTGACCACTGCATGGTTGGGGCATGCCCACCCCAGGCCCGCCTCGTGGCCTCCACACCAGCACTGCGTCATGGGGCGCAGCCAGGCCTGTGTGTGTATGTGGGGGCAGTGGGAGAGTGGGGAATATTTGCCCCCACTCCTGAGGTGATAAGGAAAGGAGAAGATCTCCCCTCTAGAGCATGGGTTCCTCCAGAAGCAGCAGAGCCCCTGTGAGGGAGGGGAGGGGGTCCTCATCAGAGGCCTGCTGGGGGAAGGCAGGCAGCCCACGTCCTCAGCCTGAACGCCAACACAAAAGGCCCACGCAGCAGCCACCAGAAGCTTCTTCCCTTTATTTTAGTTTATTAATAGGATACAGACTGCAGGCACTTACAGTGGTCAGACCGAGCGAGGAGCGAGCGAGAAGTTCTGCTCAGAGAGGCCGCCCGGGGCCCAACCCGTTGGGGAGGCCTGTGGGGGAGCCGAGAGGCCCCCAAAGTTCCCCACCACTCGGCCCCGAGCCCAAGACGCCCAGGGGACCAGGAGGAGAAGGGGCCGAGGGAGGAGAGAGCGAAGATGGCCAGGGCCGAGGGGTCTGGCCCTGGCGAAGGCACCTCTGGCAGCCGAGGCTGGGCTGCGCGGTTAATCGGCCAAGGAAGGAATATGTACAACTCGGGCAGGGCGCACAGCTCCCGCGCAGAGAAGCGGACACGCTCCTCGCGCCCCAGCAAGGGCTGGGGGGGCACAGGCGCCCCTGGTGCCCGGTTTCCAGAAGGCCTGGTCTACTCAGGCTTTCCCAGCCAGAGAAGCCTCTGGGCGCGTCCCCCTACCCCAGCCTGGATCCTTATTCAGGGTGGCACTTGGGGTGCGGTTTCCTCCTCTGTGACCCAAGACCTCATGCCCCAAAGTGCAACACCAGGGCTCCCCCACCCCGGGGCTCCAGGGCCCCTGTGTCCAGCTGGGGCCGGGGGCAGGGAAGAGCCAGGGCCGGCCCGCAGGGAAACTGGTCCCGGCACGGGGACGGGAGGGCCCGAGGAGGCGGAGGGGCCCAGACCACCGAAGATCCTATACCGAGGGTGCTCGAGGCCCCCCCGAGAACATGCCCCCCGCAGCCTAGTCAAGCAGGGACGGCTCGGCCGGGCGGATAATGGTGGGCCGGCTGGGCGCAGCAGGGGGTCTTCTGCTGCAAAGAGAATAAAGACAGACGGGGAGGGGGAGATGGCAGTGAGGCCCGAAGCAGGGCAGAACCAGGACCCAGGCCCCCCCCAGCCCCGCCCCAGGGTGCGGCCCGAGGCTGGATGCTCTGCAGGCTGCTGGGTGCCGGGAAGGGTTTGCCAAGCCCAGGCGTCAGCTCCCCCCTAATCACTTGCTCCGTTACCCTGGGCAAGTCCCTGACCCGCCATGACCTCAGGTTCCTCAGGGGAGAACTGGGGAGAAGAGAGGCTGGCCTGCAGGGTGAGGGGGCCACGACCGAGCATGTGTGTCCTCAGTAAGGAAACAAAGGTCAGAACCAGGAGAAGGGGCCCCGTGTGAGGGGTCCCGAGCTGTGTGGTGGCCACCCACTCAGGCAGAGGACAGGTCTGGGAGCCCAGAGTCACCTTCACTCCACTGCTATGTGACTTTGGGCAAGTGACTTGGCCTCTCTGGGCCTCAGTTTCCCCACCAGCCCAGTGGGGATGCCGGTGCCACCTCTGCTCCCTGCAGGGCACAGGCCAGTGGCTCTAGAGGGCGGGCGGCGAGGGGGTCCAGCCTTACCTGGGCACTCCCGGGGGGATGCCAGGGGGAATCCGAGCTGGCCGAGACGGGATCTGAGGCGGGGCCGAGAAAGGGTCGTTGTTGGCAAACACGCTCTGGGGGCCGGGCCGGGACGGGATGGGGGGTGCTGAGAAGGAGGCTGCTGCGCCCACGGGCACAGGAATCAGGGGGGGCCCCGGGGTGGGGCCCCTCACTGCTGGGGGCCGGCCCGGGGGGTGCACGCTGGACACGGGTCTGCGCTGTGGAGTGGGGCTGTGGAGGAAGCAGAGGGCATGAGCTGTGGGTGGGGCGGGGGAGCCAGCCACGGCGGCTTCCGTGACGCGGGCCGGCACCAGCTGCCACCCAGGGAGGTGTGGGTGAGTGCCTGGCCCTGGGCGAGGGGCAGCGCGGGCGCACTGGCATCCTCCATCCACCCCTCAGACCTGCTCAGCCATGGCCGTGCGCTCACCCGAAACCCCAGGGCCCCAGCCCGTCCTTGGCCACCCAGGGCTCCCGCTTCCCTCTGACCTCACTCCCACAGCATTTCCCTCTCACTGACCCCACAGGGGCCTCCCCACCTCCTCCAGACTACCCTCCGTAGCCCAAGATCCTTCCAGAGCCCAACCCTGCCCTCCAAGTCAAGTCCAAATGCCCCCAGGGGCTGCAGGGCCCCCAAGCCCCTGCCCCGCTGCTCCCCAGGCTGGATGCCGTGTCCCCTCCCTAGGTAACTGCATGGCTCCCGAGGTCTCAGTAGGGCTGGCACCTTCTAGGAGACTTCCCTGACCGACCCTCTCTCCTCCTGCCACCTGCCCTGTCACTGGTTCAGCGTCCCCGTCTGATGCTCTGAATTGCCCACGCCAGGGTCTCATTTCCAGCCTGGGGCGGTCGGGGGGAGGGGACGTGTGGGTTATGCTCTCAGCTGTGCTCTGTGCTCCAGGACCCCTGTGGCCGGCGTCCCCAGGCCTTTGCCCTCTCTGGCTTCCACTGGGCTTAACCGACGGAAGGCACCAGAAGACAGGGGCCTTTACCGTTCTCTCTCCTGGGCCCTCAGGCCTAGGCAGGGTAGCAGCTCCCACTGTGGCTAGCCCTGGGCACTGCGCCATCTGGGTCGGGCCCCTTCACCCTGCCCACCCACGAGGGACACATGGGGGAGCTGAGGCGGAGCCTCTGTGGCACACGGGTGACCAGGCCGTGCGGACCTGTGGCCGCTGGTGCTCTGGATCCAGGTGTCGTCGACGGGTGGGGGCACGGGCGTGGACACGGTGCTGGTGCTAATGTCCCCGATGATGCTGAGTGCCTCCTTGAGCGCGTGGTACATGCGCAGCATGTCATCCCGCCGCTGAGCCTGGTCGGCCGACTCTTCCATGAGGCTGCTCTGGTCTGACGACGAGTACAGGTAGGCCAGCAGCTCGTGGTGGATGAAGGCCTTCGTCTGGGGGCACGGGGCGGAGGGTCAGTGAGCCCACCACACCCACCAGGGACTCAGCCGGCCACTGCGGCCGGCTGCAACAGCATCCCTCACACCCCGGGGCTTTCTTGTCTTTAACTTGACCGCCGAACACGTAAGATGTTTAAAACACTGCTGAGCCCCCCACCCAGCTGTCTCCCGAGCCCCTCAGGGGCATTTCAAGTGTTCTTCCAACCCATCTCATGAGATTCTTATTAAACTTATTCCAAGAATCTTATCTCTTTTATTGCTATCTTTTCTCCCATCGTATCTTCAAAACTGGCTTTTGTTCGAAAACTACTAGTTTGACACTTTATTCCTTCCTGAATCCTCCTACAGGATACAGGAGTTATTGTTACTTTTCTTGGGGTTTCTAGGTACACGTGTTCATGTGTACATGAGCTCTTCAAATAGGGACAGTGTTTCCCATTCTTTTTCAATGTTCACACCTCTAAGTTATTTTTCTTATCTAATTGCTTTGGTTAGTAACTCTACAAGAAAGTTAAATAAAAGTGGAGATGGCCCACTTGTTCTTGATTTTAGAGAGGATGCTTCCAGAACTTCCCCAGTAAGGTCAAGACTAGAACTTTGAGACTAAAATGCACAGATTCAATGGCTATAGGACAGCTCGTAACAGAAGACCCCTTCTACAATGACCTTTTTAAGAATGGATGTTGAATTTTCTCAAACGAACTTTCAGCATCCACAAAGATGATCATGCTCGATAATTTTTGACTTATGAACCATGTGAATGTGTTAGCTATTCAAACACTTAAATTTTGAAAAACCAGTAAAAGGGAAAATAAAACACAAAAAGGTACAATGAAAACTCCTTTGTCCATCCTGGCCTCCTTAGCCTCCTGAGTTCTAGGAAGCAACATCTCTCACCAGGTTCTTGTACAAACGTCCAGAGGTTTCTATGCATATATAATTTATATATTTATATATATTTCCCCTCCCTTTTTACACAAATGGGGAGCCTTCCTGTAGATTCTGTTATGCTCCATACCTTTTGCACTTAATGAAAGTTATTATAGACCTGGAGACATTCCTCATTCTTGTTTTTTGGCAACAAAAACATTCTATCCAATAGAATGGATATTATTAAAAGGATTCTACTAAATGGATAGAGATTTCCAATCTTTGGCCACCACAAAACAATGCTGAAAAGAATAACCACGTATATGCTCAATTTGCATGTGGGCACCTGTCTGTGTGGGAGAGATTCCTGCAAGTGGAGCTGCTGGGTGGAGCGTATACACGTTTTAAGTTTCATAGCTGCAGAACCACATATGTCATAAATCCCATCAGTATGTGAAGAATATTCCAGGACACCCTTGGAACTTAACACTGATCACTTCTGAGGAGACGGTGAAGAACGGAGTGAAAGGGAAGGGACTTAGGATTTTTGCTTTAGACCCCCGTGTGGCCTGCCCCTTCCAATTTCCCAAGAGAGGCTGGGAGTCCTGATTCTGATGTTTAAAAGGTGGCGACTCACTCTAATTTTTAATTTTATACAAATCTGGCCGTGGCTGCCCCAGGCCCCAACTGTGACGGGCGGCCCTGGAGGCCGGGCACTCACGTTGTTGATCATGAGGTGCATGATGGTCTTTGGCATGAGGTCGCGGATGGACTTGTTGATGATGGCCACATACGAGTCCACCAGGTTGCGGATGGTCTCCACCTGCCGCTCCAGCTGTGGGTCCATGGAGAAGGTGTTCTCCTGGGCTCCGTCCTCATTTTCAGCCTGCAGGAGGGTAGGTGGTGAGGGGTGACTGCGGCCTGGGCGAGCGGGGGGACCCCCCTTCTCTGGGAATGGCTTGCCCTGTCCCGCCCACACCCGACCCTCCGGGGCGGGGCCCTGACGGCGGTGTCGGCACCGTGTGGCCCTGCCTGCCCCCGGCCTGAGCTGCCGGGACCTGGGCTGACCAGGGCCCAAGGCGGGCTAGATCCTCTCACACGCGAATCTGGTGGCCGAGGACGGCAAGTTCACTCCGCCTCGAGGACGGAAGGAGAAGAGACTGAACAAAGCAGACGGGGCCCCTGTCCATGTGCATCCCTGTCCTTGGCCTCAGCTGGAGGACCCTTTGGGCCCTGAGGACAAAACCCTCTCCCGCTTTCTGCTTTGTGTGCTCAACAGGGTCTGGGCTGGGGCCGGCCCTGTGGTGCAGCGGTTAAGTGCGCGCGCTCCACCGCCGGCAGCCTGGATTTGGATCCCGGGCGCGCACCGACGCACCGCTTGTCAGGCCATGCTGTGGTGGCGTCCCACATAAAGTGGAGGAAGATGGGCACAGATCTTCCTCAGCAAAAAGAGGAGGATTGGCAACGGATGTTAGCTCAGGGCTGATCTCCCTCACAAAAAAAAAAAAAAAGGGTCTGGGTTCTGGGCTGCGTGCTGTCAGAGAGTTCTGGCAAACACAGCCTGGAAATGACCCATCCCTTCCTCTCCCAGGTGGGGTCAGCTCAGCCAGGCTGTGCCAGCCAGGCAGGGCGGCTCCTCACCTGGTCCTTCTCGGGGTAGACCCCGGCTCGGAGGAACGAGGCCTTCCAGCTGTCCACGTCCTCCTGGGAGTCGCAGGCCAGCTCAATCTGCCGCAGGTCCTTGTAGACGTTCCTGTGGTGAGGGGGGCGGAGGAGAGGCGCGTGCTTGACGGTGCCCGTGGGCCCTCGGGTGTGGTGAATTCACACCCGACCCAGGCACTCAGGACCGGAGGCCCCAGGATGGCAGCAGCACCCGCACCCCATCGGGCGGATGGGAGCGCCGTGAGTTAGCACCCACAGAACCCAACACCGTGCCAAGAGCAAGGCACGCACTCAGCAAGCGTCTGATCCACCAGCATCCGGGGTGTTTCGCTTTTGTGGGCTCAGTCGCCCCCTCTCCTTGCCCTGGGAACTGCCCATCCCAGCTGCCAGCGCCCCCTCCAGAAGTGGCAGCTGTCCCAACACCCTCCCCAGTTGGAAGCTCCCATCAAGGTGTTTTCCGAGAGGCCACAGCAGCGCTGTCCAAAAGAACTTTCTGGATGGTGGGAACATTCTCTACCTGCGCTGTCCAACGCGGTAGCCACAAGACACAGGTGGCTTCTCTCTGAGCACCCGGAGTGGGGCCAGGGTGACTAAGGAAGTGAATTGAACATTTTATTTCCATTATTTTAAATAGCCACAGGGGCCAGTGGCCGCTGCACTGGACAGTGAAGGTCTAGAATGTGTCTGATTCCTGGGGGTGGGGGTGTGGAGCTGTGCAGGGATGCAAAGGCTTGTGGAAGGCAGGGCGAATGTGGTCTGTGGGTGGAAGAGAGGCGCAGAGCCACGGGCTGGAGGAGAAACGGACGGACACTAACCAGCATTTATGGACAGTGTTCTATAGGCCAGGATCCGTGCCACCTACACCATCCTGTCTCACAAGGCAGCTGTGGCCAAGACAGCCAAACTGTCTCAAAGCCTTCGAGGAAGACCTGGGTTTGAGGTTAGGCTCCTTGTGATGGAGCTCTGGCCAACCAGCAGGTCACGAGTGGCTGCCCTGAGAGACTTCTGGAAGGAGTCATGAGGGGAGGGGCATGCCTTTGCTGCTCCTCTTCCTCCTTCCTGCTGCCTGGAACATCATCGCGATGGCTGGAATTTGGGCAGCCCTCTTCGACAAAGAGGAAGAAGGCTGAGGAATAAGAATGAGCACCTGGGCCCGATGCATGTGGAGCTGCCCCACCTGCCCTGGATGGTCAAGTCTAGACTTGATTTACATAACAATACCAAACTTCTATCTTGTTTCCGCTACTATTCTTCTGGGGGTCCTGAACTCCCTCCTACATGATACATCAGGTAATACCTTCACTCTCTTGCACAGGGGATCACAGGGCCAGGAAGGTGGGACAGCTGCCCAGCACCACACAGCCAGGATGAGCTTCCCAGCAGGCCTGTCCTACTGCAGAGCCAGGGCCTCCAGCACACTGTGGGGCTTCTCAGGTGGGGGTGTAGGGTGGGGAGAGGTGAGCCTAAAAGTGCTATAAAGGTTTCTGGAGCCAGCTGATGGCCAAACTGGGCCTCAGAGCTTTAGGCCAGGCCAGAACAAACCAGGACAGACCTTCTCTTACACAAAGCAGGAGGCTCGGCTGGAATGGGTGGCGGGGTGGGCAGTGGGGCAGGTGGGCGTGGGGCCGGCAAGGAGGATGTCAAGGAAACCACTGGACCTCGGCTGACAGCTAACCCTGACTCATGGCCCGTGGTTCCTGAAGGAGGGCAGGTGTGAGTCTGGGCAGGCCCTCCCGGATCCCCGCTCGACCTTCCTCCTGCTCTCAGACCCCCTGCCAACTGGGTCCCTTCCTGAGTGGACGAAAGCGTCTTTGCTTGTGCTAAAGTCTCCTACCAACGCCCCAGGAGATGGATTTACCAAGAGTCTCCTGGGCCCTTCTCCTCTGTCTACACTCGCCCAGAGATCTCGGCCCGTCTCACAGCTTTGAACCCCACCACGCAACGACGACTCCCCATGTCACATCCCCCCCAGAGCTCGAGCCTGAACTACCCGGCTGCCTCCCCGACGCCCCACGTGGTGTCTCACAGGCCTCGCTCCTGCAGCATGGCCCCAGCCCCTGAGTGTCCCCGAGCCCACCCTGCCTCCGCCTTCCCCATCTCAGCCCACGGCAGCTCGGTCCCTGCAGGAGCTCGGGGTCGCCAGCAACGCCTCTCTCTGTCACACCCACACCCAGCAGGAGGAGTCTGGTCAGCTCTGCCTGACTCTAGGAATCCGCCCCCTCCACCTCCATGAGCCGCACCGTGTCCACCCCAGCCACCCTCACCCTGGTCTCCTGCCCCCACAGTCGGTCCTGCGCACGGCCACCAGAGGGCGCCTGCGAGCACCCGAGTCAGGTCCCTTCCCCTCTGCTCAGAACTTCATCCCACCTCCACCCAGAGCTCTCCCCTGACCCCCATCTGTTCCTCGCCTGACGCCCTTTCTAGAACGTGAGCCCCCAGCGCAGGGGCTGTTCACGGCAGTGCCTGCTGGACTGAACGGAGCCGCTGGTCTTCGCTCCTTCCCCTCCCCGGGCCCCGGCCTCACCTCTGCTCCGTGTTGAAGATGGCGAAGACGTGCTTGTTGGACATGAAGCCCTTCTCCACGTCGCGGATCTTGAGGTTGTCCAGGGGCAGCATGTACTTCTTCTCTTTCTCCTGGGGGCAGAAGGGGAGCGGTCACTCCGGGTTGTTGAACTGAGGACCTGCGGATGCCCCAGATGGGACCCTACCTCGAGGACCACCACTGATGCCTGACGCTTCCCAGGCTGGTGGCTCTTCTTGGATTAACTCATCTGCCACCACCCTCCCTCTGGCTCACCCTGTCCTGGCCATGCCGGCCTCCATCATGCTCCCTGAACATCCCAGGAGAGCTTCCACCCCAGGGCCTTTGCACGACTGCGCCCTCTGCCTGGAACGCTCCTCCCTGCAACGCCCGCATGGCTCCCTCTTTGCCTCCGTCAGGTCTCTGTGCCGAGGGGACTCTCATGGTAAGGGTCCACCCTGCACTCTCCCCACACTCCCCCTCCCCCTCACATAACACACCACTTATCTCACTTATTGACCTAGGTCACCATCTGTCACCCAGACTGACTCATCAGTTCCTCGAGGGGAGGGACTCCTGTCTGTTTTGGTCACTGCTGACACAGTAGATGCTCAGAACTGGCCGACTGACTCTACCCAGAATCTAGCCCCTCCTCCCCTCCAGGCTGACTATGAAACGCCAACTCACAAGGAGCCTGTGAGTGAGTTACCACTATGATCCCATTTCACAGCAAGGGAGACCGAGGCCCGGGGCTGGGACTTAAGTCTGGGCGGCTGCAGACAGTCCTGGAGCTGGAAAGCGGGGCCCCTCTGAGCTGACGCCTGAGCCCCAAAGCCACCGAAGTGTCGCTCGCTTCCTAAGGGCGGCCCTGTTCAGGAAGTGCCAACCCAATGCCAGGCAGGGCCGTCCTGGGGAGGCGGCTCGGGAGGATGCGTCCCTCAGCCAGGGGCGCGGGCCTGGTGAGTCACGGGGCCGGGAGTCGCATTCCAGAGCCGGACGCTCACCCACCGATGTCGGCTTAGCACCCACAAGGCTGGGCCCCTGCTAGCGCATCACTGTCAGGCCTCGCAGGGGCTGTGTGTGTGCATGTGTGCACTAACTGTTTCCACATCAGGAAACCAGAGGACAGCGTCACGGTCCCCCGACTCCCATGCCCACAGGACCCCCAGCAGCTCTCAATGACCAACGCGGAGCACTGCTTGTCCATTAGCTCACGGAACCCTCCCTCACCCCTGCCAGGGAAGTAGCGTGCTCAGAGAGGGCAGCCAGCTGCCCAGCACCACACAGCGGGCGGAGCGGGCCACTGCAGGACTTCAGAAGCCAGGTCCCTGTGACCCGAAGCCAGGGTCTCTGCACGGCCCTCTGGGCCTTCCTTTCACCTCCTGGGCGTCTCTGCTCCCCCTAACCCGGCAGCTCACTTAGTCTCCCGTGTCCTGTCCCTATCCACTGGAAGGCCCCAGAACGAGGCCCAGCACGGCTGCCACCTCCAGATTTAAGAGCAGCCACAGTGCTGGAGGGAAGGGGCAGGGGCTCCCCGGCAGGGGCTGGCTCAGTTTCAGGCCACGGCAAGGGAGGCAGGAGCGAGCAGCGGGCATGTACGCAGGCTCAGTCCTGCAGCTTAGAGGCTCGGGCGGTCTCAGCCCCTCCAGCCACTGCCCCTCTCTGCCTCAGTTTCACCATCTGTCAAAGGCAGACAGGAGTCTTGCCTCTTAGTTCAAGGCGAGGATGGAGATGACCATACCAGGCACCAGGGGTGTTCTTTTGTGTCTGTCTGTCTGTCCGTCTATCTCTGCTCCAAGCTCAGCCTATCAGGCCCTGGGCAAGGAGGAGGGACAGAGCTCCTCCAGCCCGAGCTGTGGTGAGCGGCGGGAACAGGGCCTGGCGGCCACGGAGGTGGGAGCCCATGGGAGGCAGGGCAGCGAAGAAAGGGTGGGCCAGGATCCCTCCAGCCTCGAGGAAGAGTTTGGGGGCTTTAGAAGGGGCCAGGGCCGGGGGGAAGGTTCCCTCCCTGGAAGTCTGTGGAAGGGCTGCCCCCACCCTGTGGTGTCAGGAGGCAGGAAGCTTCCAGTCGGCTGGCCAGGCCAAGTAACTGAGTCACAGTCCTCTCGGGCCCCAGCGAGACGCCACATCTGGAACTGTTTACAGAGCGATTCCGCCCGGAGCGCGGCGGCTGCCTTCCTGATGCTGCCGGCACGCATGCACACAACACACACGACACACACAGACACACATGCACACAGCACACACAGACATACATAACACACACACCAGACACAGACACACACACAACACACACGCACACACACACCCTCCACACACACACACACATGCATACAACACACACACACACACACACACACACACACGCGCGCGCGCGCGCGCGTGTGCCCTGCCCCCAGCCCGACCCCCAAGGAGCCCTTCTCCTGTGCACAGAGGCCAGGGACCCAAACTCTCCCGCCCGCCCGCCCGCCCCCAGCCGCCTCCCCCACCCTGGCCCTAGGATTTCCTGAAAACCCACAAGTTGCTCCAGAGGCGAGCCGGCCCCAGCCTCGCCACGTCAGAGCAGAGGAGCCGCTCGGCGCGGGCGGAGCAGTGGCTCCTCGCCTGCTTGGAGGCCGGGGGGCCCGCGGGATGGACAGCCGGCCCCGCCAACCCAGTGTTCAGACTACCTGTTCAGGGGGCTCCGAATGTGTACAGTAGTCTGCACATTGGTTAGGCTGGGCTCGGACCAGCGGCGCGTCGGGACGGGCCCCCCAGAGCGCCTGCCGCCCCCACGGTGAGGCAGAGCCGGAGGTGAGTGTCATCGCCCACCACCCTGTTCCCCACCGGGTGGAGACTCGGATGGAAGATTCTGGAGTCAAGCAGGGCCTGGGTGGGAGAAGAGGCTCCAAGGAAAGGCAGAGGGAGCCCTGACGCCAGCCGAGGAGTTGGGGGTCCCGGCCAAATTGTTCCCCATTCCTACCCCAGACTGTAACTGCCTCCTTTTATTTATTTGTTGAATAAAGGAACAAGGACATCATGCCTCTCTCTGAGGCTCCTCTGAGAAGGTGGCCTGGCCCGGGGTGGCCCCTGGCCATCACGTGTGCGACTCTGAGGGTCCCTGCTGTGATCCTGACTTGGGTGGGGGGCGGGGGCCCAGGATTTCGCTCCTGCCCCTCCCGGTCCCAGGCCGCTTTGTGTCTGGGGCGCGCACAGGGCCCCTTTCATGGGCCTGCTGGTTCTCGTTACCCGGCGGGCGCTCGACCCTCCCATCACTTCCCCTGCCTCTGGTCTGGGGCCCATGGGAGGGTTGGGGGCGCCTGCTTTCAGCCCCAGAGGAGGGAAAAATGAGGGCCCCTCCTTAAGGGAAAGAGGAGAAGCTCTCAGAACTGCAGTGGGGCCAGGGAGTGACCCGCCAGGCTGGGTTCGGGCGCAGAGCCCCTCTACAGCTGCCCGAGGCCGTCGCCAGGCCTGGCGCTGCCGCCCTGGGGACCCCCGAGCCCAAAGGCGGGGACCAGCCCTCAGCCTGCCCGACAGCTGACGCATCAGAGCAGACTGGGTCCCAGACCGTGGGGGCGGAGAGAGGGAGAAAGAGTGTGACAGCGTCATCCCCACACCCTCACTCCGGCCATTTTGAGGAGCAGATCTGGCCACGCGGGGTCCTGGAGGAATGCCTCGTCTCGCCCTCCCTCACATCCGAACCCCCTGAGGCTCGCTGGCTCTGGGGTCCCGGATAACGTCCCCCCCACCCCCTCGTTTAGAAACAGCCACCCAGACAGGATCCATCAGGGGGATCGGGGCTCCAGAGGCACCAGAAGATTCCAGGGAAGAGTCTCTGGCCTCATGTGGAGTGGGCAGACGACATTTCACCCCAGACACCCTCCCCTTGTTGGATCCGCATCCGGCCTGGCCGCAGGGGAGTGGTCCAGGCCAGCTCTGAGGTGTCTCTTGGGTCAGAGGGGGCGCGTGCCCTGTACCCACCACACGGAGATCCTTCCCTGCTCTGTGACACAGGGCAAGTCATTGCTCGGAGCCTCAGTTTCCCCACTGACGGAGTGTGAGGATGAGGAGGGTGCCCTCCACATGAGGCCTCAGGGGGCTCCCCCAGCCAGCAAACTGGGCACAGGGTGGGGGCTCCATAAACACGAGCGCCACCCAGGGGCACCGACAGACCTCTCCCTGCCTTCTCTCTGAGCCTGGGTGGAAATTCACACAGTTGGGCCTGCGGCGGGCTCCGCTGCCAGGGGGCCCCCGAGTGTGGGCCCCAGGGGTCCTCCCCAACCGTCAAGGGGAGGAGAGCCAGGCGGGCTGGACCCCGGCGTTACCAGAGAACCCGGCCTCTCCTCCGAGGGCCCCTAGGCCATGCTGGTGGCTGTGCTGTTCCAGGTAAGTGAAACACAGTGGCCATGGAACTCGATTCTGGTCAGGGGCACATGAGCAGAGCCCTCCCTTCCCTTCTGTGGACCACAAGAGGCCACACGGCGATGGGCCCAGAGAGGCTGCCCGCTGGGCTGGGAGGGCACTCACTCCCAGCCCCTTGCCCACAGGCTCCTGGAGACCGCAGCATGCAGTCCTGCTCCCTGTGGGTATTATTCCTGGTGCTATTCCCAGGGACCTCTTCTGACAAGGACAAGCACACGCAGAACGTTCTAAAGACAGACACGACGGCTAAGCACCTCACAGTAGGCAGGGCCCACTTCACAGATGGGGAAACCAAGGCCCCGAGAGGCTAAGGGCCTGGCCGAGCCCACGTAGGTTGTAGATGATGGAACCCAGGCCGTGCCCTCTGAGAGCTGGGCCCCCCTCCCTGTGACTCTTGAGGTTGGGGGCGGTTTCCAGCCTGCCGGCGGCTCCCTCTCCCCAGCTCCTGCTCCTCCTCAGAGAGCTGAGCCACCACCAGGCGGGACCCCACAGGGGGCCGAGAAGGGCTGGGATATGACGTGCGTGCCTGGCACGGCCTCCAGCCCTGGCCATTGCCATCCTCACGTGGGCTCTGGGGCACAGTGGTGCAGGGAACCTTTCTGGAATGAATGAGGGAGTGACTGAATGCCCGCCCACTCCCCTGCTGCCCACCCCACGGCCACTCACCTCCTCGTCCTTGTACCAGGACAGGGACTCGGCCGTCAGCACGAACCAGTACTCCTTGGAGCCGCCCTTCATCAGGCTGATGTTGTTGATGGTCAGCCAGCCCCTGCGGATCACCTGGCGGGGAGGGGGAGGGCGCGGCTCAGCGGGGACGTGTCCCCACCAGCCCGGCCGCCCCCAGCGCAGCGCACAGCGCCCCTGGCCAGGTGGGAAGCCAGGCGCCATGACAGAGACCCAACACCACCTGCCCCAAAGCACCTTCTGCTGGAAACCAAGTCCCCAAGCACCTTCCCGCTGGAAACCAACAGCCCCACAGACTCACTCCCAGCCCAGGGTGACGGGGAGCCGGCCCGGGAGCCCCCGTGCGCAGGGTCAGGTTGAGTTAGCACAGGCGGCAAGAGGTGCCCAGCTGAAAGCTTCCCAGAGGAGGGGTCCTGGGCTTATGGGGTCGTGTCACGTGGGATGACGTGACACTGGAGAAACTGAACCAGGCACCAGGGGCGCCCTCTGGAAGGTGGCTGTCCACGGAGGGCTGGAGGAGTCACCCACACCATGGACAGGCTCTTCGTCTCTCTCCTTTCCAGGCCCCTGGGCAGAGGCTCAGCACGCAGCCTCGACTCTGCCGCCCACCTGTCGGCTCCTCTGTCCGGCTCGCTGGGTGTGCTCGGCGGGCACGGGGACCTGCTCTGACCGGGGTCGTGGCCAGCCCCTGCCCCGGGCTCCCCTCCCCACAGGCTCTCTTCAGAGAATAAGGGTGAAGGGACGCCTCCACTCAGAGGGCTGGGGACAAATGTTTGAGCCCGAGGGACCTGCAGGGGAGGGTCCCCCTTTTCTCTGCCATGTCGGGGTTCTGGGCTGGGGGAGCCCCGGGATGGGGCTCGCCTGGCCGTAGCTGTCACCTTAGTGGCAGAGACAACCCAGGCCTGCACGGGGGACTCACCTGACAGCTAAACTCAAGTGGCCTGGGGGACCACCACGCTCCCATGTTCCCTGGGCCATGGAGACACGCGTGGGCAGGAGCCCCCACCACTCGGCACGGGGGACCCAGGGCCAGCGGGAAGCACATGGAGGCAGAGGCAGGGCCGCCTGGGGCCGAGGCAGCGACAGACTGGGCCAAGCTACAGAGGGTGCGCTTTGCGTGGCCAAAGACAGCTGGGAAGGGCTGGTGTTGAGCCCCCCAGGGCGGGCAGAGCAGGAGCACCCGAGGGGGCTTCGGGGATGCCTCTGGGGCCCACTTGCCTTCCTAGAGGGTGGGTCTCAGGAGGGGCTTCATGTTGCCTACCCTGACCCACCCCCAGGCCTGTCAGATCTTAACAGGCCACCAGCCCGGGGCCCCTCGGATGCGGGCTCCGAGTCTCAGAGGCCATGAAGGCGGAGGGGGCCACAGAGAACCCTGGGACCCCTGCGCTCCGCAGAAGGCCCTGCCCAGGTTGGGGACAGCACGAGATGCCATCTGGCAGCCCTCGCTGAGGCCAAGGCCACAGCCTCCTCCCTCCCTGGGACAACAAGATAGTACTGGGGGGGGTCTTCCGGCCTTTGGCACCTGCCCGTCCACGGCTGCCTGGCAGGTGAGGTCACAGTGTCTTCCCTGGCAGCAGGGTGACTGACCTAACCCAGTTTGCTCAGGATGCCCCGGTTCAGCACTCTAAGGCTCGGGTCCTGGGTGCCCCGGTCCCGGGCCAGGCCGGGTGATTAGTCACACTGGGGGCAGGGCTGGTCTCCAGACACAGGCCCAAGGCTGTCCCGTGTAGAGCTCAGGAAGGAGGCCCTGCTTCTGGAAACTACGCCCAGCCCCAGAGCTGTGGGGGTCTCTCTGTTCGTGCCTGCTCCTTCGCTCCCCCAAGGGGCCGGGTGGGGCCCACCTTGTCTCAGCCCAGCCCGGGCACAGCGTGGATGCTTCTAAACTGTGGTCACTGACAGCAGGGGAGGCAGAGCAGAGGGTGGAGAACCAGGCTGTCCGGGCTCCCCAGGGAGAAATCCTCACATGGCGAGGCCTCTGCACTCCCAGGCCCAGCCTGGTTCCCAAGGGAGCAGATGTACCCCGACTAGCCCTTGGTGGCCCGGCTGGTCAGCCTCCACCCTCGGTGAGCAGCAGTCAGAGCTGGTGGATGGGACCCTGGCCGTGCTGCGGAGCGTGGGGCCATGCCAGGAGTGGCACATCTGAGCCTCGGGACAGGGGCTGGTCAGGCCTGGAGAAGCTCCCAGGTAGGTCCCCTTCCTCTCAAGCTACCCTGACAGCTGCCCACGTGGGAGCCCAAGCGAGGCCAGAGACAAAAGCCCACCCCAGGGAGGCACAAGCTGTGGGCGGCAGACACAGGCGCTGAGTCCAGAGACAAAGGAGCAGCCAGGCCTCCTCATCCCAAAGCCAGATTTGTGCCCAAGGGCACTGGGCTCAGACGGAGGGGGGTTGAGGGGAGAGAAGAGGCAGGCAGGGCTCCCATGCTCCAGGGTGCACAACGACAGGCATGCAGGCACGCTGCGGGCGGGAGGAAGGCCGCCAGGCAGCAGGCAAGGAGTGGCACAGCTGGGGCCCCGGGCAGTGGGTCCCAGCCCAGGCACCCAGGCAGGGATGGAAACCATGGGAGACCCAGGGGCCACAGCCACGTGCATGGCAGGGCTGGGCGGTGTGGCCGGGGGTACAGAGTCTGGTATAGAGAGAGAATGATGAGGCCTCTCGGGGTGTGGGGAGATGCAGGCCCCTGGGCTGTTCGAAGGGAGAACACCATTCAAGTTCAAAAGGGACTGGGGGCGACGTGTGGGCAAAGCAGGAACCATGGGCCCAGGGACCAGTCATTCCTCCTGCCACCACCCTGCAGCCCATCAGGTCCTTTCTGCATCTTCCGGGCCCTGGGCACAGCAGATCCCTGGCACGGGGCTGCCCAGGGCCCTAGGGGCTGGCAGTGGAGAAGACCCCAAAGAAGAGGCCTCCGTTAGGGCTGCAGGCCCAGGCTGTGCTCTCCGAGTAGGAAAGCTGGGCTGAAGTCAGCTGCCCGGAGGTGAGCACCTTGAACTGAGCTCCACTCTCAGATGTGAGCAGCACCTGCTCCCCCCTGGGCTGGGCCACCCCCAGAGAGGAGACGTCACCTGTGACAGGGATGGCAAATACCGTTTGTGTGGGGGAGGGGCACACCCATCAATGGACAGGAACTGCCCGGAGCACCGTGGTGAGAATTCTGGGCAGGGAGGGAAGGTGCTAGGATCAATTAGTGATGTCTGCCACAGGTAAAGGAGGAGGGAAGGGGAAAGTGGCACAGAATGGCCTAATCAATCACCATATCTGCCATGGAGGCAAGAGGATAGTGGCAGCATCCAGGAGTGAGTTCCTACTCAATTAATCATGTCTGTCTTGGGTATAGGAAAGGTGTTACATGCAGAGCTCTCACGTGGGGGAAAAAAAAATTCCTTGATCGGTTAGTTGCATCTGCCACAGAATAAGGAGTGGTGGCATGCTTAGGAAAGAGTGCCAGGATTGATTAGCCATGTCTGCCATGAGCACATGACAGACGAGAGGCACCAGGGAAAGAGTGCTGGATCAATTAGTAATGTCTGCCATGAGCACAGGCATGGAAAATTTCTGCATGGTGATGTTCGCATTGGAGACAAAGTGGCAGCAGTGTCAAGAATAGGTTCCAGCAGGGCTTGAGCAAAATTTTCCCTGGCCAGGGATGCGAGGAGAGGGAGGTGGGGGGTGTTAGCCAAGTATTTGCCATCCCTGACCTACAGGATACTAGGTCAACCTGTCAGGAATGCGCTGGAAGGGTGGGCCCCCAACCAGGGCGGCCGTCAGGTTAGTATCTGTGTGAGTCGGCTTCTGCCCAGGCATAACGCCACGTCCGGCGTCGGCCGCGGCAAGGGGTTTCGGGTTAGCTTGATTTTTAGTCGTTCTGTTATTTCAGGGGAAAGGGAACGTTACAGGGTGGCAGGGTCTCCACCGGAACTAGATTCTCTACCATTGGCTACCACGCTAAGTGGGTACTTACCAAGATCTCCCCCTTTGAAATGCAAAGTTAGGATTGTGGGTAAATCAAAGAAGAGCAGGCGGAGGAAAAGAGACGTAAGGGACGTGAGGGGACAGAGAAAACGCAGAGGAAGCACAAAAATGGGAGGAGAGAAGAGCAGGAGAAAAAAACAGCAAAAGAAAAAAAATTACATGCTATTAATGATATTCATGGTGTTAATATTTAATTCATTATCATCTCCTGAAACAAAAAAGCAACAACATATGTATTACCTACGGCAAGCGCAAAAAAATCATGCAGTGGTTACGTCCTTGCTTCCAGAGGGCTCTATGATCGTGCAAGATAAACGGCAGAGCCCCCGCCCCCACCCCCGCCCCCACCCGATGGGGAGGAGCAGGGACGCTGGCAGGAATTTTGCCCAAGATGCCATGCACCTACCACTGGCATATATAAGGCTGTTCAGATTTCACGGGGCCTCTGGCTGGGGCATGGTATCAGGGTAGAAAACCCTTGGCGTGGCTCTGGGTTTCTCCAGGTTTGGGGCTCAAACCACCCCCCAGGCTCCCCAGAACTGCTTGTCACAACACAGCCTCCCCCAGCCCCTTCCCACAGGCTCTAAGTCTCTGGGGCCGGGACCCAATTTGGCTGCAGACACCACAGGGGACTGGGCGGGCCCTCTGCTGAGGGTCAAGTTCTAACTGTGGCCTTGGATGTCAGACAGGGCCTTCCGGGTGGGTGAAATCTGCCCCCTAGGCCCTGCCAGAGCTTTGGCTCAAAGACAGGTTTCCGGAAACATCAAAACCTGAGTGGACGGGGTGGGGATCTGGCAGGGCGTTCCCGGCGCCAGGCCCCATCGCTGGGCTCTACAGTCCCTTAGGCCCTCCCGCCCCCGGGGCGGGGGGGAGGAGCTGCAGGCCCTGAGGGTGGCTACCTGATTGGGGATGGCTCTCTTCTTGTTCAGCTGCGTGTTCCTCTGCTGGGCGCTGAAACCAAAGCACAGAGAGGGCGCATGCGGCGGGACGCCAGGAGGGAAGAGAAGCAAGTGGCCCTGGAGGCCCAGATGGGGGTTCTCTCCCCCAGGGGGTGCCTAGTGGCCAGCTACGGGCGGAGGCAGAGAAGCCACCTGCACACACAGGGCTGCCCAAGGGAAACAGCTCGGGCTCACGGGACAAGACGACGTACGGAGTTACACTGAGGCTTCTAGGCCCTGAGCTCAGCCGCTCCTGAGAACGCCAGCTATTTCCAGGAGTCAGTGGAACCTGGAGCCTCCAGGAGGCGGCACGAGAAGCTGATTCCCAGGTGGCTGGAAGGCTGCCACGGTGGCTTCAGGGTAACCTGGACGCCAGGCTGTTTGGGGGTAAAACTTGACTCTTTTTTCCATTCTCTTCCTACCCGTGACCCCGGTACTAGGTTCCCAGTAGCTCTGACCATGGGGTCGTCGGCCCTGGGAGATCAGATCGTGGGTGGGACAGCTGCCCACCATGAAAACACCTTGGCCTCATCTTGGATGGTCCTGACTCAGTCCAGAGGACAGTCAAGGTCACCAGGGCGTGTTTCTACAAGGCCTCTTATTCGCCTACAGTCCCAGAGCTCTTTTCTGCTCCTCTGTCCTGTTTCCTGGCTAGTTTCTGCCACGCAGACGAAGGCCACGTATTTTGTACGTGGGTACCTCCTCACTCCCTTGTTCATCCTAACAATGTATTTTCTACTCGGACGATCATATCACCACCTCAAACAACTGACAGTGCCTGTTACTGAGACTTCATGTTTTCTTTTCTTATCATATTGCTCTAGCTGGAACTTTGGGAACCATATGAAAAGGCAATCCGTCTCATTTCATTCCTTTACTGACTGCCTCTTGGAGTTTACCTGAAAGTACAAGTTGGCTGTAGGATAAGGTAGTGTGTGTGTGTGTGTGTGTGTTTGTGTGTGTGTGCATGCACACGTGTGTGTGTTAAGGAGGCAGGCTTCTGCTCCCGGATCAGTCAAGGCTGGAGCATTAAAAATGGAGGTGGAATTTTACCCAACGATTTTCCTAACATTCAACTAGTTTATTATAGGGCTTTTTCTCTGGGCCCTGTTTTCCGCATTTAGCGGGCAGTGAGAAGGCATCTCAGAACATCTAAGCACAGGAAGGAGTTTGATCAGCAGTGTCTGAAGGAGACAGGACTGAGCTAAGCCACGCGGGGCGATGGCTGGGTGCTGCTAAGACCCCAGATGTGCTACTCCCTAAGGGCTTCCTGGCTCCCACCCTCGCCCGGCAGGGCCCTCCTGGTGATGAGGCCTGGCCTCGCATCCCCACCTTGCCTTGGTCTCCCCATGCTCCTGCTTCTCAGCCTTCCTTCTCTGTCACCTGGCTGTCACGACTTCCTCAGGAAGGTCTCTCCAGGCCACATCCCTCCATCCCGTCTCACAGCTCCTCACCTACCCTCCTTTCCAACCCTCATCTTCCTTGTGACAATTTGCTCAACAACAATGTGTCCCCAGCCTGTGGGCTCTGAAGGGGCAGGGCCCACGGTCTGGCTTGTCCACTGTCCTATCCAAAGGCTCCGAGACAGCACTCCATGGCTATTCAGAGGGCCCCTGGGACGGCCCCCCCAGGGCTGGGGCCTAGCCTTGTACCTGGGCGGGGCGGAGCCTGGCACCCGGGGCCCCGCCCCCAGCCAGGGCGCCCCTGCTCACACACCAGGGGAAAGGCACACAGCAGGCAATACCCACCCGGTCACCAGCTGCTCAGTATAGTAACAGCTGGGGGAAGTGGGAAGGCCCAGGAGTCCAGAGGACAGAGTGGAGAAGTCAAAGGAAAAACAGGAGAGAGTGTGAGAAGGAACTGTGGACGAAGTGTGAGAAGCAGAGACGTCACGGTGAGGAAACAGCAGTGCACCCAGGAGGGGGACCGGCGTGTCAGCCCACACACACCTGGCCACGGGGACAGGAGCAGGAGGGGGGCCTCCCCAGGCTGAGAACTTGCCTGAGGGGTGGCCCACAGCCAGGGGCCCCCAGCCCGCCCCCAGCAGGACAGCCCAGCTGGGGCCCTCAGCTCGTCTGGGCCTGGGAGGAGCTTCTGCTCACACCCCCATTCATTCATTCATTTGTTCATTCATTCATTCCACTCACCCACCATGGCCCCAGCACAGAACAGCTGCTCAATCAACCATTAGTGCATTGATAAATGTTCTACTCCGGTAACGACTTAGCCCAACAGAGAGACCCCCGACAGAAAGACCCTCTTGCCCCAGCCTGCTAGCCCAAGACTGGGCTCTGGCAGGCTCCTCCTCAAGGAAGGCACCCCCAAGGCCAGGCCACAAGGCTGCCCTCTGGACTCCCACGGGCCCTGCACAGCCCCCGTCCCAGCACTAAACACACTGGGTCTTGACTGCCTGGGTGCACGTCTGTCCCTGACACGGAGCTGTCCTGTGAGGGTGGGGACCTAGGTCTATGCCTGCTCACTGCTGTATCACAGAGCAGAGAAGGCTCACTAGGAATATTTGCTAAATAAATACAAGGAAGTTGGTTACCAACAGTCTGTTATTCTATCTGGCTCAGGCAAAAAGACCTTCGTGAGCCACCAGAACAATCCGTGTGACGCCCAAGCTCTCTGTGGGGAGGGGCCGATGGAATCAGTGGGCAGTGCCTGAGACCACCAGCATTTCTATCTACACCCTGCCGAAATCAGAGCTCTCTGCTCTGGCCCCTTACCCGGGTGCCAGGGAAGGTTCCGGTTTTAATTGACAGTGTACAGACGGAAGCCCTTGAGGTGCTCTGTGAAAGGGTCAGGTGCATGCGGGGAAGTCTGGGAAGCGGCACGAGAGTCTGCGAAGGGCTCTGAGAAGTCTGGCTAACCTGGCCCTTTCCCCACGAGTGTGACCCCAGGACTGCACTTTCTTCCTTAAACTAACCTACTGGGGTGCCCTGTAGGAGGTGCATTGGAGGCAATAGGGATGGGGCCGCTACTAGCCCAGGAAAGCTTCCAGATACTCTCAGATGGCTCCATGCTGCACCCCGGGACCCCCAGGCCGCTGAGGGAATCCCAGCTTGACTGCCTCCCTTGGGGCCTGGCTCTGAGGGTGGGCACTGGAGCCACCCCTCCAGCTGCTATCCCGGGAAGTACATACTTTGCAAATCCAATGAAGTCCTCGTGGTTCGTGTTGATATAGGACTGCTCGATGTCGATCAGGAGAAGGATCTGGGGGAGAGCAGGGGTCACTGTGAGCAAAGAGAGGAGCACTTCCCACACCCGCCAGCAGGGGGAGCCCGGAACCATGCCGCCTCCCAGGCAGCAGAACAGGCCACACACAGCCCCACAAACACCCTGGAATTGATGGGGGGGGGGGGGGCCTGGGTGCCTCCAGACATCAGGGATCCACAAGGAAGTGAGACTGGGCCAACCGAGCAGAGCAGGCAGCCCAGCGTGGTGGCCACGGGTGTGGCCTCTGGGGCTGAGCACCTGGGCTGTAGTGTTGGCTCGGCCACTGCCTGGCTGTGTGACCCCATGCCTCATGTCACCGAGCTGTGGAACGGGGCGCCAAGAGGCCCGAATGCAAAAGGTTAATAATTCCCAATATGTCACGTGTTTATAGAGTCGTGCTTGGCATGTCATTACTGCCTCATTAAAACGACAAAGATGATTTGGCCAGGCGAGGACATTAACATCACACACACACACACACACACACACACACACACACGCCAGTCGGAATGTCATCTCAGACACGGGACAGGGCTTTAAACAGTACCCTGCTCCTTCTTGTCACTTCACTGTGCCTGGGAGCCCTCAAGCGTTAAACGGACCAGGCACTCAGATCTTGTGGGGCTGATGGAAAATGCCGGGTGCTCCGTCTGTGGGAGCCACCGTTGCTGGTTTTATAAGGTCTGTGGCCCCGGAGCCCGCGACCTAGCCTGGCAGTGTGGACGGCGGGCCACCAGGGGCTGCAGTGTGTATGGAAGGACAGCTGCTCTTGCCAACAACAACACGCGAATTAGACTCTCAAGCTTTCGACAACGCTTCCAGGCTACAGAAGCCACGAGGGAATGAGGCACCGGGGGCCCCTGTTCTGGAATGACAAATGAGCCGGTTTCTTCTCCATCAATGTCAAGGGGAGAGGGACTGTTCGAAAGAAGACGATAGCACAACAAATCTAACGCGTCGGCTTGTTTCGGTTCTGGTTTGAACAAACAGCTGCCCAGAGACCACAGCAGACAACCAGGGGCGGTGACTCGGAGCAGGCGTGGGGCCACGTGGAGGCGGGGTGACAGCCTGGGCTCAGCAGGTGACAGGTGTGACTGGCGCTGCGGCCACATGGGGGCGTCCCACTTTCTACCCTTGTGTGTGCTCGGACGGTCTTCACAAAGAAAATGTTAAAACACGAAAGCACCCCACACGTCCTCTGGCAGGCGAATGGATAAATGAGCTGTGGTCCACGCATACGTGGAAGGGTACTCAGCGATCAAAGGCCACAAACCACAAACACACCACCACTGAGGAACCCCTAGTGAGTTGTGTAGAGTGAAGGAGGTCAGAATCAAGAGGCCACATACTGCAGGAGTCCACTCACAGAACATTCTAGAAAAGGCAACACTGTAGGGCCAGGAGCAGCTCAGGGGTTGCCAGGGCCTGGGGGTCGGGGAGGGGTCGACGACAAAGAGGCAAAGGATGGGAATTGTGGGGGTGACAGAACTGTTCTGTACCTTGACTGAGGTGGGCGTTACCTTGCTGCATGCATTTGTCAAAATCTGTACAGTCCAGATTTACGCACGTAAATGATACCTGAAAATGCAAACAAAAGCCCTACCTGGTCCTTGGTTCGCCCCTCCCGTTCCCGGATGTAAGTGGTGACAATTCGCTCCGTCTCCTCTCGCAGCCGAGGGTAGGAGCTGAGCTGGGGGAAAAGCAGAGCGGTGGTGGCGTCGGCTGGGTCCCCGTGGCCCGGGAAGCCATGGCAAGCACATGGAAGACGCAGGGGGAAGGGGGTGACGCGGGGAGGGCCCAACGAAGCCCCACCTCCTCCTGTCTCAGAGCTGCTCCAGCTGGGAGACAAGAAGGGGCCGGGGGGCGGCCGGTGGGCCGGGGAGAGCGCCAGGGGCCCACACACGAGCAGAGATGCTTTCTGAGGATGCAATGATTCAGAGGTGCAAGGTGGCAGAGAAAGCAGGTGGCGTGGTTGCTGCCCGGCGGTGACGGCCTCCCCTGCCCGCCCAGCACTGGGTGACAGCACAGACACGGAGTGTAATCAGAGCCGCCGGGTCACCGAGACAAGGCTCTCGCCCGGCTAGTGAGCGCATAGCGCCTGCTCTAGAATGATGGGGTGGCATCTGAGCATCTACCTCGCAGGGACCCCCTTGCAGAAAACCATCCCCAATCATTTCATTTGTGGAATCCTCTCCTCCAACGACCCCAGCGCCCCAGCCTTTGCGGCCGCAACCAAACCAAACGCGCAGGGAGCCCACCTTCCACAGTTTGGGTTAAGTCCCTAAGATGCAGAAAATTGAGCGGACATCCAAAACCACTTGTGGAAAACCTCTTAAGTGCCCCGTGATGTCAGAGCACGCAGGTCTTCGCACTAATGCCGCATTTCACTGCTCTGGGGACGGTCCGGAAACCCCCTTTCTCTAAGGGGTCCAGGAAGGGGCATTGACTCTCGTCCCCAGTGCCTGCTTAGTGAATGCACCTGGCAACATCAGAGGCCTCCCCCACCATCAGGAGCCCAAACTGCAAAGATGGGACCCGTGTGCGACACGACCCTCTCCATCTCGTCTGCAGATGCAAAGTTGAGATGTCGCTAAGGGACAACCGGCCCACAGAAGGGGGTTCCTGCGAGGCAGTGTCCCAGATGCACAGGTTAAGGCTAACAATGGGAGGGAGATGGCGGACGAATGCGGAGGTGATAAGAACGAAGCCTTCCGTTACCTTCTCGGCACACTTTTTAATGACTGTGGCCAGTTCTGAGACCACGAGGTCAACACACTTCAAACTCGGCTCTTTCAGTTTTACGATCTGTTTTTTCACAATGGCTTCAAAGGCCATGTCGGGAGTGAAAAGCCCCGTCCTGGGTCACGTGGAGGGCGGGACGAGGCAGAAAGACACCCAGGCCCAGTGCAGACCACACGCGGGCGGGAGGCAGAGAGAGGAGAGAGAGAGTCAGCGGGTCAGTGGCATGCACGGAGGAGCCTGAGCCCGCATCTGCCCCGGAAGCTGCTTCGGATCAGAGAGGCGGCCCGGGGCCAGAGGGCGGGCTTGTTCTGGGGTTTAATGACAGAAGTGACACAGGCCGGTGTCATCGGATAGATGGCTAAGGGTGTGCGGAGGCCCTGAAATTTCACATCTGTGACAGTTGGCTTTAAAATGACGATCTCCGATCCATTTGGGTTTTTTTCCCTCCTGCCTTTTCCAATGGAAGAAGCTTAAGAAGCAAATGTGGGCTTTTCCAGACTGAGAACAGAGGGCTCAAGCAGGAATTCAGAAGGCCGACCGGGAGCTCCGTGGCCACGTGGGCGTGCAAACAACCCACCCAGCGGGGTCCGGGCCGTGGGCAGCCGGGCGTGCCGCAGCGGAGGGCAGTGGCCCGTGGACACCGGCACACAGGTGACTAGTGGATCTGAGGACGGGCCGCCTGGGGGACAGCCTGCTCCTGGGAGAGCAGGGGAGCCGGCTGAGCCAGGCCGACTTTGTGCACCCGCCCCGGGACAGAGAAGCGGCTGGCCTCTGCCAGGAGGGGTGGCGGCCACGGAGGCTCAGGGAGCCGGGCCTCCAGCAGCAGATGCAGGGTCCCTCTCTGCTTCCCAGAAGGCAGCGAAGCGACAGCCCAGCGAAACCCCCAAAGCCATCAAACACATGCTAGGCTCGGTATCGGGGTCCCAGGGGCCGCCAGTCTGGCCGGTTCTGGAGGCCTGGCACCCCCGGGGCGCCCAGGCCGACACGCTCCCGCCCCAGCCTCTCGGAAGAGGCCACGCTCTTGGAAACTGAGGCAGTCTCGGGGCAAGGCGCCAGCGGGGCCCAGGCTGAAGCGGCACCGGGAGCCTGATACCAAAGCCCCGTGCCGTGTCCGCGAGGCCAGCACAGCCCGCTGAGGGCCCGATACCTTGCTGGTGCACTGCCTGACTGTGCTGATCAGCTCCTGGATAACCAGGTCGACACACTTCAGACAAGGCTCTTTCAGCTTTACGACCTGTTTTTTCACAATGGCCTCGAATGCCAAGTCCGGGGTGAAAAGCCCCGTCCTAAAACCAGCCGCACCCGGGGGCAGGGGAGATAAGTCAGAGAGAAACAGCATGGTCAGCGACTCCACGGGCTCCGGCCGGGCCCCGAGCAAGGGCCGAGGTCGCGGCAAGTCCGGGGTCGGACGCCTGTGTCCACTGCCTGGAAACCCTCAGGGGGACCTGAGGGCCCCAGGCGACACGAGGCCGGATGGGAGCGACTACTTTTGGTGGAACACGGAGGGGACCCGGGAAGCTCATGGGGGACCCTCGATGGGGACAAAGGCTGGGTTCCTGTGATCGTGACCCAGCTCTGGCTCCCTCCAAGCCCCAGGGCAAACAGGCAGTGATCTTTCTGAGCTGACCGCGTGACTAGGGCTCATGCCAGCCGCTGGGCGGTTTAACCCAAGTTTAACCCAAGGGCAGCGGACAGCCCCTCGGCCTACGGCAGATCCACACGGGACTGGGTACAGCCGCCCTCGAGCCTTTGGAGACCCACAGGGAGAGACGTACGCTTACTGAAAACCACCCAGGGGCCCTCTCAAGGCCTCAGGAGTGGGGCACCCAGAGGTTCGGGGGCACCGACTGGCAGGAGGGTGGCACCGCGGAGGTGAAGGGGACACAGCAACTCTCCCTGTGGAACTTGCCTGACTCCATGGATGTTCTTAATGGCGTAGCTGATCTCCCGTCTTAAGTCCTTCTCGTCGAACTCCATCTGAGAACAGACAAACCAAACGCATGCAGGGAGGCACCTGGGGTGCCCCCACAGGTCTGTATTTGCAGAATGTCACCTCCTATGTGCAGTTTGTATTCACGTGCCAGAATATTTAACTGCCCAAAAATTTTAAAAATATTAAAACCCAGTTCCAGCAAGGATGCTGTGAAACTAACACTCTGGCTCTCTTGGAGGGAACATGAATTCACATAAACTTGCTTACAGGCTACCTGGCAGTACAAATCAAGAATCTCTAACAACATACCTATACTATCAGCTGATAGTTTCAAATGTTCTAGAAATTTATCTTGAGGAATTAATAAAGAATCAGCTACAATCACAGGATTCTTCAGAACTGCTAAAAAATGTGGAAACAACCTAAATGTCCAACAATGGGAGGCTGGTTAAATGCGTGATGGGACATCCAAGATGCTGTTTGGCCATTAACCATACACATTTTGTGTATGGTTAGTTTGGACGGATGGCCACCATATGAAAAAAGCAGGGTAGAAAAAATAAACATATGCACACACAAGAATGGATGAACATACGTGCTGTGTGTGTGCACGCAGGGGGCTCACCCATTTGCATAGAAATAATTCTGAAAGGACACACAACCAGAGCTAAGAGGCGTTGTCTGCAGCTGTTAGGATTATGGGTGTTTTTCTCCTTTTAGCTTTTGTTCTTTTATTGAAAAGAACTTTATTGGTTTTTCCAAAGATGGTATGTACTCACTATAAAGTCTAAACCTCAAGCAACTGAAAAGAAAGAAAATCTCCCATCCCAGAGCCCAGAGCTGACATTTTTGTGAACACCCTTGTGGATCTGTCTCTGCAAAGACGTACATCTAGAAATGCGTGTACGACTTCATATGGAAGGGTGCTATACATATCTATATGCTATGTTGCACGTGCTGGCTCTGTAATCTGCTTTTCAACAAGCTGGGGGCATTTTCCCATGTGAATTTACCTATATTTTCTATATATTTTGCAAAGAACATGTATTGGTTTTGGTGAGGAAAAAAATGGACCTTTTCATCGAGTTGTGCCGGAAACCTCTAAGCCGCCTGCTTGGGGAAGGAAGCCCAGGGGGCGGGGCCCCCGGCTGCGCTCCGCCCACAGCGGCTCCGCCTGGAGGAGGCGGGGCTGGAGGCCGAGCCGGAGGAGCCCGCCCGGAGCCGGGGGCCCGGAGCCGGGGGCCCAGCCCCGGCTGCGCTACCTTCACCAGCTCGAAGGGAAAGCGCTCGTGGAAGATGCGATTGATTCGGGCGCCCCCGGAGAGCTCTAGCGTGTCCACTTGGTCTCCGGAGCCCTCGATCCTCTTTTCAAAGTCCACCCCGAACTGCTGGACCATCCTGCGAGGAGAAGAGAAGCTGAATCAGAGTGGAGGTTTCCACACAGCTCCGCAATCGTGTCCCGAGCCAGGCCACGGCTGACTTGCCTCTCTTCATTTTTCAGAAGCAAAAGGTATGCGGAGGTCACAAGAAATCAAATCCAGGAGCTGCCACGCCCGCTCTGAGGCCCCTTATGGTGACTCATTCATTGAACTGAGGGGGCAGAGTAATTACTCCCACTTTGCAGATGACAAGAGTGAGGTGCGGGGTCCCAGCTTAGCACCCTCTGCCCGGAGGCTTGGCCTGACCCAGCAGGACCAGGGGTGAAAAGGCAGCCCCTCCACACAGCGCAGGTGGCTTCCGCTGGTTCCCACCACCTCCCAGCCTGTTTGGGACGGGACACCACCACTGACGGGCTGGGAGGCCTGGGACAGGTGGCTTTGCCCCTCTGAACCTCAGTTTGTTCATCTGCAAAGTGGGTTGATCGTAATAGCACCTCCGCACAGGGTCATTGTGAGGATTCCAGAAGTTTCTAGATTTCATCAATGGTAAGAAGTCATCTACCCTCAAATGCACTATGATTAGTCTGTGCTCCTCCAAGAAAGAAAAAATGCTGCCAATTAATGGTAATTCACCTAAAACTTCTGAATTCCAAGAAGTCAAAGTTTTTTTTTCTTTTCTTTTTTTGTTTTATTGTAAAATTTCTGTTGTACATTATTGTTTGTCAGTCACCATATAAATGCATCCCTCCACCCCTTGTGCCCACCCCCCACCCCCCTGGCCCCTGGTAACCACCAAACAGTTCCATCTGTCCATGTGTTGGTTTATCTTCTACATATGAGTGAAATCATTTCGTGTTTGTCTTTCTCTTTCTGGCTTATTTCAATTAACATAATACCCTCCAGGTCCATCCATGTTGTTGCAAATGAGACGATGTTGTCTTTTTTATGGCTGAGTAGTATTCCACGGTATATATGTACCACATTTTCTTGATCCAATAATCAGTCGAGGGACACTTGGGTTGCTTCCACTTCTTGGCTATAGTGAATAATGCTGTGATGAACATAGAGGTGCATAAGCCTCTTTGGATTGTTGATTTCAGGTTTGTTGGGTAGATACCCAGTAGTGGGATAGCTGGATCATAAGGTATTTCTATTTTTAATTTTTGGAGGAATCTCCACATTGTTTTCCATAGAGGCTGCACCAGTTTGCATTCCCACCAGCAGTGGATTAGGGTTCCCGTTTCTCCACAGCCTCTCCAGCATTTGTTGTTTTCTGTCTTGGTAATTATAGCCATTCTCACAGGTGTAAGATGATATCTTAGTGTTGTTTTGATTTGCATTTCCCTGATGACTAGTGATGTTG